GAGAGAAAGAGAGAGAGAAAAAAAAGAGAGAGAGAGAGAGAGAGAGAGAGAGAGAGAGAGAGAGAGAGAGAGAGAGAGAGAGTGAGAGAGAGAGAGAGAGAGAGAGAGAGAGAGAGAGAGAGAGAGAGAGAGAGAGAGAGTGAGAGAGAGGGAGAGCCATTAACTTGATGTTATCACTTCCTACCGAACCAGTGCATATACGAGTATGAAAATAACATGAATCAACGTCACACTAACGCGCTGTTACGTGTCTTGATAACACAGTCATTGGTTCTTATGACACAGTCAGGGGAATAGCCGGCCTTCTGGTGACACATATCCAATGGTATAGGGTCGATACAACCTTAGTAATTTTTATGATGACCTATGCTATATATGTATGCAGTGCGTGCTAATCTCGTGCATACACCAGACTTTGTAGCTTCATATGAACAGGAAGATACACACGTTTCTGTCATTCAGTGATGAAGGAAACACGTTATTCTGTGTTTCCTGACCGGACATGTGTGAACTTACGTGGCACGCTGCCATTGCACCTGATTCACTGAGGACAAAACAATTACAACAATCTATCCTTTCTATGATAAAACATAAAAATAGATAATAGGCTTACCTGTTAACTACCTGCCCACGCGGCTGACGGCGAGTTTAGATGCCAGGTCTAGTACAACTGAGCTCGTGCGTGGACCCCTCGACGCCTCGTTATTTACCTGAAGTACTGCAAACACCATGTTCCCATTCCGTTCTTCAAAAATAAACTTGAATGGAAGACACTTCGTGACTTTGAGCATCTTAACAAGGTTAGATAAAGAGAGGGGGGCTGGAAGGCGAACGGTCTTCGTTATGTGATACTGCAAGGGCAAACACACTCACTGTGTCGCAGTGTGAGAAATATCGCCTCAAGCAGTTCTACGCAGCACTGCTTCAGAGCCATTGACAAATTTGCTTTGGAAACCTAGCAGGCTAGTTTCGCACCTTGAATATTTAGGCAAATATGTCTTAACCCGAGAGTTGAAGGGTCGAGGCTGGTCCGATGGCTCACCCCACAAACGGCCGCTGTGCATAGTCCTTTTTAGACAACTGAATCTGTGCGTTGTTAGTGAATATTAAGATATTTGAACCGAGCCAGTCCTATTTATTTGTGCTGCTCTCTGCAATGAACCTGATATGAAGTCACTTTTTACTTTACACGAAACTTCCAAATTCGAATACTATGTCATGCCACCTTCAAATAAACGCAGTTCAAAAGTGTTCCTAGATGATTTGTCCCGCATTTTCAGCGGGAAGAGTTCAGTCATTCTTTACAAGACAGATTAGGGTGTGTACAAATACACTCAGTATAAGTATGAAGGTCGGGTTAGAAATCCATCTCTCGCCCGGGAGAGCTGGTGTCCACCCCTACCACACATGCATATATTAGGACACTGTGTTTGTCTTGACATGCAGCACACCGCCGCTCAGTCTAACCTGTGAGTCGCTGTACAGATGGAGTCCCTGGTCTGACACACGGATGAATCCACAAACAGGCGAAACTGCGGTTTGGAGTATTGTTAAAAGCCACGTTAAGACTCACTCACTCACTCACTCACTCACTCACTCACTCACTCACTCACTCACTCACTCACTCACCAATTCACCAACTCACTCACTCAACCACCAATTCACTCACTCACTCACTCACTCAACCACCAATTCACCAACTCACTCACATTCACTCACTCACTCACTCACTCACTCACTCAACCACCAATTCACTCACTCACTCAACCACTCAACCACTCAACCACTCACTCAACCACTCACTCAACCACTCACTCAGCCACTCACTCACTCACTCTATTGTAAAACCTGAGACAAAATAAGTTTCACAATATCTTCTGGAACACATATTTTTTCAATCAAACTCCATGTTTTAGAATTTGTATTTATTGATATGGCTTTGAATATCTTGAACTAACCTATGATCACAGGTACTAATCTGTTCAAGGACAAATCACGAACAGCCGACTGGTTGTTGAATTAACGCTTTGATATGTAGGTCAGATTGCACAGCTGACCTGCACAGTCTATAACACAACTGGATCAGTTACATCAGCACATGTCCAACTGCATTCATGCATGTAACCTGTTCGTGTAAATTACCATATTAGCAAAGACACACATCGTATCATGTGATTTAGCAGCAGAACCCGGCACTAAATCAAGGAATGTGTCGCTGTGCATGTCCACAACTTATTTGTTTTTTTTAAATAGTTGAGTTTAAAATATATCGATGAGCAGTTGTCCTGTTTTGTATTTCCAGGTGCCAGGCCATATCCATGTGAACGCATGTGCAGTGTGTTTGTTTGCTGTTTGTTTGTTTGTTATTTAACGACGCACTCCGCAATATTACAGCTATATAACAGCAGTCTTTAGATGAACGAGTCTGGACCAGACAATCCTGTGATAAACATCCTGAGCATCGATCTACGCAATTGGGATAGGATGACATGCATCAACCAAATTAGCGAGCCTGGCCACCCGATCCCGGTTGTCGTCTCTCACAAGCATAGGTTGCTGAAGTCGGCAGATCAGTACGTGTGTGTACTGTGTTCTTTATACAGACAACGTGACAGAATTATCAGTGCAGACCTAAGTTACTCAAGAGGCAAAGTTCTCCAGCTACATCCAAAATTCGTGATTCACAAAAAGAATCGCACTCTATGTGCTCTTAATTCCAAATGCTAAGTACCCTGTAACCGTGGTATGTAGGTATGCCTTGAATCACTTAAATGCCGTTTTTGTAAGATGCTAATTCAACGTTTGCTCACCTTACCCTTTGCTATATCCCTCTCTTCCCTTACCACACCCTTTGCTATATCCCTCTTTTCCCTTACAACACCCTTTGTTATATCCCTCTCTTCCCTTACCACACCCTTTGCTATATCCCTCTCTTCCCTTACCACACCCTTTGCTATATCCCTCTCTTCCCTTACCACACCCTTTGTTATATCCCTCTCTTCCCTTACCACACCCTTTGTTATATCCCTCTCTTCCCTTACCACACCCTTTGCTATATCCCTCTCTTCCCTTACCACACCCTTTGCTATATCCCTCTCTTCCCTTACCACACTCTTTGTTATATCCCTCTCTTCCCTTACCACACTCTTTGTTATATCCCTCTCTTCCCTTACCGCACCCTTTGCTATATCCCTCTCTTCCCTTACCACACTCTTTGCTATATCCCTCTCTTCCCTTACCGCACCCTTTGCTATATCCCTCTCTTCCCTTACCACACTCTTTGCTATATCCCTCTCTTCCCTTACCACACTCTTTGTTATATCCCTCTCTTCCCTTACCACACCCTTTGCTATATCCCTCTCTTCCCTTACCACACTCTTTGCTATATCCCTCTCTTCCCTTACCACACCCTTTGCTATATCCCTCTTTTCCCTTACCACACTCTTTCCTATATCCCTCTCTTCCCTTACCACACCCTTTGTTATATCCCTCTCTTCCCTTACCACACCCTTTGCTATATCCCTCTCTTCCCTTACCGCACCCTTTGCTATATCCCTCTCTTCCCTTACCACACCCTTTAATATCCCTCTCTTCCCTTACCACACCCTTTAATATCCCTCTCTTCCCTTACCACACTCTTTGCTATATCCCTCTCTTCCCTTACCACACCCTTTGCTATATCCCTCTCTTCCCTTACCACACCCTTTGCTATATCCCTCTCTTCCCTTACCGCACTCTTTGCTATATCCCTCTCTTCCCTTACCACACTCTTTGCTTTATCCCTCTCTTCCCTTACCACACCCTTTAATATCCCACTCTTCCCTTACCGCACTCTTTGCTATATCCCTCTCTTCCCTTACCACACCCTTTGCTATATCCCTCTCTTCCCTTACCACACCCTTTAATATCCCTCTCTTCCCTTACCACACTCTTTGCTATATCCCTCTCTTCCCTTACCACACCCTTTGCTATATCCCTCTCTTCCCTTACCACACCCTTTGCTATATCCCTCTCTTCCCTTACCGCACTCTTTGCTATATCCCTCTCTTCCCTTACCACACTCTTTGCTTTATCCCTCTCTTCCCTTACCACACCCTTTAATATCCCACTCTTCCCTTACCGCACTCTTTGCTATATCCCTCTCTTCCCTTACCACACCCTTTGCTATATCCCTCTCTTCCCTTACCACACCCTTTAATATCCCTCTCTTCCCTTACCACACTCTTTGCTATATCCCTCTCTTCCCTTACCACACCCTTTGCTATATCCCTCTCTTCCCTTACCACACCCTTTGCTATATCCCTCTCTTCCCTTACCGCACTCTTTGCTATATCCCTCTCTTCCCTTACCACACTCTTTGCTTTATCCCTCTCTTCCCTTACCACACCCTTTAATATCCCACTCTTCCCTTACCGCACTCTTTGCTATATCCCTCTCTTCCCTTACCACACCCTTTGCTATATCCCTCTCTTCGCTTACCAAACTTACCACACATACCACAAAACAAGGACGGGTCGGCTCGGAGTCAGTATACCATGCCTAAGTGGGCTAGCACTTTAAAACCGGTATTAGGACGGACTACTATCGGCAGTCACACGCACGCACGCAGGCACGCAGGCACGCACGCAGGCAGGCACGCACGCACGCACACACACAGTGCTCATGGTGGGAAACGTCTAAGACCTGCTTTCCTCCCACACTAAGCTGACATGCCGTGATACAACTTGAATATTGTTCAAAGCGGCATTAAACCTTACTCACTCACTCACTCCTCAGATGTTTCGTATAACGTTTCTTTCGAATATGAGTATCACCCAACAATGCAAATAACCATTGAAGTGTCGCTCTACACCTTCTCAGTATGAATGTGAAATGATATTTGCAGCCTTATTACATTTATCAATCGGAACACGGAACAAGCTAACGCCATAATCACGGTGACGTCATATATCATGAGTGGCAATCTTGTTTATATCTTATCGCAATTTTAATCTCAAGGGCCTAACCTTATTCCGATTCTCTACGACAATGGCGTGGTCATTGACGGGCAGACTGGTACACTACCTTGTACTCGGCGTCTGTTGTACATTGTTACATGCGGTACCGAAGCTTGGTAAGTAAACCTGATACCATCAAACTACGGTATACATTGGTTGTGGTGAGTGAGTTTGATTTAACGTCGCTTTGAACAGTATGCCAGCTCTATCATGGCGTGTCTGGAGGATGAGATGCAGGTCTTAGACGTTTACCACATCGGTGAAATCAGCGAGCACATACACACGCAGAAATATAATCACGGCGAAGCTGGGATTCGAACCTCCGATCATGGTGTCTTGCAAGGGACGCAACTCTGCACAGGGATTTAGACGACTAGGCCACTTTTACCCCATGTATATGTTGTATTCAGCATAGACATCACTTCGTGCAATATCATGTACTGATCAAGACTGTTCCACAAATCTATGGTTAAGAATGGGGGCAACGCAGATTTTTCAAAAGAGGGTCATATATTTAAAATAATATATTTATTATGATTATGATGTTTATTGTTGTTGTTGTTGTTATTATTATGATGATGATGATTATTATTATTATTCCAAGTGTTATTCGTGTGTTCTGCCAGCAGTAGTATGTTTCAGCGTCTTACAATGTGGACACGGCCAAGGTGTCCGTGTCCGGCATCTCTTCTGGCGCGTGCATGGCCACCCAGTACCACGTGGTCCACTCCAGGGAGGTCATGGGCGCCGGCATCATAGCTGGAGGTAACGTCATCAGTGACATCAACTCCAGCCTGAGCAGCTTGACGTAGCGCATATTGTCATGTTATAATATTATGACAACCTGGCAGTGACTGTGACCATACTGATTGATTGATAACTGATATATGATATGAGTATTTGGTATATATTGGTTATACACTGCCGGGCAAACGAATGTATACACTTAATATTGGATTTGACAAAAAATTACTCAAAGCAAGACTGGGCTGAAATAGTCTCTGAAACACTGCAAACTTATTGTTCAAAACACAACTATGATACTCGTATCAAATACATCACCATCGAATAACAATTTCATATTTATTTTATTTATAATCACCGTCAAACTTTTTTCCCCTTTTAACTTTGTACAAGACATATTGAGGTAGCTTGGTGTATTTTATATGCGTATGGGGCTAAACTTTCGTTCCATTTAAAACTACTGTACATTTCCTGATGGCGAGCCATATCGCCCTAACCAGTATAGATATAGCAAACATCGCAGGGCAGAGAGTTGAAAGTTTGGAACCGTTATGAAACCGATGGAATCCATGTCCAGGGCGCCAAGACCAGTACACAAGCAAAATGTCAAGCGGATGGTTCCGAACATCAAAATTACGTTATCTCATTGCACCAAAGAAGTCATTATCAGGTCGAGGCTAAATGGACTGGTTGTTGCTGACAGATTCTGTAATACGAACATGCATGTCATTATGTGGTAATGGTGGTTGTTATTACTCGCATACCATTATCTTAGGTGTGTTGTCATGTATGAAACAAACACCACTCAGCATTACCGTTTGCACCATGTGAAATTGTTGCTGGGATCGGAGAATGCTTACGTTCATCGAGCACAATATTTCGAGAGAACTACACTGCTTGCCTTGTTTTAGACACTGATATAAATGAGTGGCACTGACACATGTTATTCATCAACACTTGTTATTTATCATCACGTGTTATTCATCAACACGTGTTATATATCATCACGTGTTATTCATCATTACACTGGGTACAATGTGTGAAGCCCATTTCTGGTGTCCCCCGCCGTGATATTGCTGGAATATTGCTAAAAGCGGCGTAAAACCATACTCACTCACTCACTCATCATCACACGGTATTCATCAACACGTGTTATTCATGAACACGTGTTTTTCATGAACACGTGTTATTCATCATCACGTGTTATTCATCATCGCGTGTTATTCATCATCACACGTTATTCATCAACACGTGTTATTTATGAACACGTGTTATTCATGAACACATGTTATTCATGAACACATGTTATTCATCAACACATGTCATTCATCATCACGTGTTATTTACCATCACTTGTTATTCACCAACACGTGTTAATCATCATCACGTGTTATTCACCAACACGTGTTAATCATCATCACGTGTTATTCACCAACACGTGTTATTCATGTCATACTTGTACCATAACATGGAATGCCTCGTAACAAAATCAGAATTCTCAACAAAGAACGTTGTATACCGCCCTCTCCCTCAGCGCCCTTCATGTGTTCCGGGGGACTAGTGGCCACGGCGGTGGGGACGTGCATGACGTCCCCGTCCCTGATCAGCGTCACCGCCCTCGAGTCCATCACGTCATCAGGGGCGTGGTTTGGTACCGTCGACGCCACATACCACATGAGGAACGACCGGGTGTTCATCTTTGACGGCACCAAAGACTCTGTAGTTAACCCAGGTAACGCATGCTCCTGAGTACATAACGGATGGTATCGGGCCAGCCAGTAAATGTATGCATTATTATCATACCTCAGAATCCCTTACACCCCGCCACGAGCAAGTCAGGTTGCATTAAACCCCATGTACCCCTCCTGATCCTGCTACAAGTTATAATACGTGTCACGTATAACGTAACAAAGGTGAGGTGAGGTGAGGTGAAATGGGGTTTAACGTCGAGTCCAAGATTATTGCACTTATATAGCGTCGTGCATGCACGTGTATGTGTGTGTGTGGCTGCTTGTACTAGTCCTGACGGATGCCGATTTATAGTGCTAGCTCACTGAGATACCATGCCGCAGTTTAACATGAATACCCCACTCAGACACAGTATACTGGCTCCAAGCCGACCAGTCCTTGTTTTAGACCCTTAATGCCGAGCGCCAGACAGGGTAACAACATGTACCATCTTTTAACGTCTATTGGTATGACGCGGGCGGGGATCGATCCCCGGACCTTCCGCTCACCGGGCGGACGCTCTACTACGGAGGCGGTCTGAAGTAACAAAGAAATACACAGATGGTAGAGTGTGTAAGGTTTTACCCTGCTTTGAGAATATGTCAGTAATTTCACTGGGGAGGTACCGAAAATGCGCCTCATACATTGTAACCATGTGGGACGACAAGCCAATACCTTAGGTGAGGCTTTAACCACTGACCTACCTCACTACCCTCTAAATGACATATCGACACGTTATATCCGGACGGGCTGGGAAATATTATAAAGACAATGACGACATGGAGTGAGGAAAGGTTTTTCGTTCTTCTTTTGAGCGATTGTGGCGTTCTCTAGTCATACCGACGACATGGGTTCAACCTGCCGCAAGGGTATGTGTGTGCCCGCCATGATATTGCTAGGATGTCATCCCCACTACTTTGTGTTCCACCAGTTGCTGGACAGAAGGTGGCTCAGTACTACGGCCATTATATGTCCAGCTCCCACATCAAGACGGTCTTCAACATCAACGCCGAACACGGCATGGTAAGTCGATGTTGAAGATGACATAGATGGTGTTACTCTTTGTATCGTCGATGTAGGTGACGTGGAAGCCGTTACTCTTTATGTCGTCGCTGTAGATGACGTGGTACCGTTACTCTTTATATCGTCGCTGTAGGTGACGTGGATGCCGTTACTCTTTATATCGTCGCTGTAGATGACGTGGAAGCCGTTACTCTTTATGTCGTCTTTACACACCGCCGACTGTTGCCACTTTAACAAATAGGAATCACAGTTTATAAATCATGTGATTTATTGTTTCGAGTCATAATTCAAATGGAAAAGAAAACGGAAATCAGTTGTCACCTTTTGCAGACCACAATCGAGTAGATAACTGTATGTACTTAGATCTCAGCACTATGGCGTCTCTGCACTTCCACGTCCGTTTACATTGTACTGAATCCTCTCATATGTTTAAAAACGTCAAGCCAAAATATTTAATCACTCAACAATTGGCTCTTAAATAAATATTACAAGATACTTGTTTAAGAGATAAGTATTTTATCATATATGGCGGGTTCAACAGCCGACCTTGAACTACGGTGGAGCATGTGATCAGCTCAATTCGAAAACCTACCTCAACAACTGCAACTACTCCGCAGCCTTTCAACTCCTCAACCACATCTACGGCGGACTGCAGGTAACAACCATGTACAACATAGTGATGAAGTAGTCACGTTGTAACTCAGGAATGTACAGTCTGTAGCAATATGTAGTATGGTTGTAACGTAATGATATAGTCTGTAGCAATATGTAGTATGGTTGTAACGTAATGATATAGTCTGTAGCAATGTGTAGTATGGTTGTAACGTAATGATATAGTTTGTAGCAATATGTAGTATGGTTGTAACGTAATGATACAGTCTGTAGCAATAGGTAGTATGGTTGTAACGTAATGATATAGTCTGTAGCAATATGTAGTATGGTTGTAACGTAATGATATAGTCTGTAGCAATATGTAGTATGGTTGTAACGTAATGATACAGTCTGTAGCAATATGTAGTATGGTTGTAACGTAATGATATAGTCTGTAGCAATGTGTAGTATGGTTGTAACGTAATGATATAGTCTGTAGCAATGTGTAGTATGGTTGTAACGTAATGATATAGTCTGTAGCAATATGTAGTATGGTTGTAACGTAATGATATAGTCTGTAGCAATATGTAGTATGGTTGTAACGTAATGATATAGTTTGTAGCAATATGTAGTATGGTTGTAACGTAATGATATAGTTTGTAGCAATATGTAGTATGGTTGTAACGTAATGATATAGTTTGTAGCAATATGTAGTATGGTTGTAACGTAATGATATAGTTTGTAGCAATATGTAGTATGGTTGTAACGTAATGATATAGTTTGTAGTAATGTGGTAATGTAGGGAGCTTGTGAAGGCCTCTAGCTGTCTTAGAATCCATCACTGTTCTCTCGTAAAGAGCCCGTTGGGGTTCCCGGTACGCATTATACAGTCTTGTTGGGTTAGAATAGATCCCTGGTACCTCTTGCTTGCCTCCCCGTGGAGATCCCGGTTAGAACAGATCTCAAGTACCCAATATTTGTCTCCCCGTGGAGATCCCGGTTAGAACAGATCTCAAGTACCCCATGCTTGTCTCCCCGTGGAGATCCCGGTTGGAACAGATCTCAAGTATCCTATATTTGTCTCGGCGTGAAGATCACAGTTAGAACAGATCTCAAGTACCCCATGCTTGTCTCCCCATGGAGATCCCGGTTGGAACAGATCTCAAGTACCCCATGTTTGTCTCCCCGTGGAGATCCCGGTTGGAACAGATCTCAAATACCCCATGCTTGTCTCCCGGTGGAGATCCCGGTTAGAACAGATCTCAAGTACCCCATGCTTGTCTCCCCGTGGAGATCCCGGTTAGAACAGATCTCAAGTACCCCATGTTTGTCTCCCCGTGGAGGTCCCGGTTGGAACAGATCTCAAGTACCCCATGTTTGTCTCCCCGTGGAGTTCGCAGTTAGAACAGATCTCAAGTACCCCATGTTTGTCTCCCCGTGGAGTTCGCAGTTGGAACAGATCTCAAGTACCCCATGTTTGTTTCCCCATGGAGATCCCAGTTAGAACAGATCTCAAGTACCCCATGTTTGTCTCCCCGTGGAGATCCCGGTTAGAACAGATCTCAAGTACCCCATGCTTGTCTCCCCGTGGAGGTCCCGGTTAGAACAGATCTCAAATACCCCATGTTTGTCTCCCCGTGGAGTTCGCGGTTGGAACAGATCTCAAGTACCCCATGTTTGTCTCCTCGTGGAGTTCGCGGTTGGAACAGATCTCAAGTACCCCATGCTTGTCTCCCCGTGGAGATCCTGGTTGGAACAGATCTCAAGTACCCCATGTTTGTCTCCCCATGGAGTTCGCGGTTGGAACAGATCTCAAGTACCCCATGTTTGTCTCCCCGTGGAGATCCCGGTTGGAACAGATCTCAAGTACCCCATGTTTGTCTCCCCGTGGACATCCCGGTTGGAACAGATCTCAAGTATCCTATATTTGTCTCCCCGTGGAGATCCTGGTTAGAACAGATCTCAAGTACCCCATGCTTGTCTCCCCATGGAGATCCTGGTTGGAACAGATCTTAAGTACCCCATGTTTGTCTCCCCGTGGAGATCCTGGTTAGAACAGATCTCAAGTACCCCATGGTTGTTTCCCCGTGGAGTTCGCGATTGGAACGGATCTCAAGTACCCCATGTTTGTCTTCCCGTGGAGTTCGCAGTTGGAACAGATCTCAAGTACCCCATGCTTGTCTCCCCGTGGAGATCCCGGTTGGAACAGATCTCAAGAACCCCATGTTTGTCTTCCCGTGGAGGTCCCGGTTAGAATAGATCTCAAGTATCCTATATTTGTCTCCCCATGGAGATCCTGGTTAGAACAGATCTCAAGTACCCCATGCTTGTCTCCCCGTGGAGATCCTGGTTGGAACAGGTCTCAAGTACCCCATGTTTGTCTCCCCATGGAGATCCCGGTTGGAACAGATCTCAAGTACCCCATGTCTGTCTCCTCGTGGAGATCCCGGTTGGAACAGATCTCAAGTACCCCATGCTTGTCTCCCCGTGGAGATCCCGGTTAGAACAGATCTCAAGTACCCCATGCTTGTCTCCCCGTGGAGATCCCGGTTGGAACAGATCTCAAGTACCCCATGCTTGTCTCCCCATGGAGATCCCGGTTGGAACAGATCTCAAGTACCCCATGTTTGTCTCGCCGTGGAGATCCCGGTTGGAACAGATCTCAAGTATCCTATATTTGTCTCCCCGTGGAGATCCTGGTTCGAACAGATCTCAAGTACCCCATGTTTGTCTCCCCGTGGAGATCCTGGTTAGAACAGATCTCAAGTACCCCATGTTTGTTTCCCCGTGGAGTTCGCGGTTGGAACGGATCTCAAGTACCCCATGTTTGTCTTCCCGTGGAGTTCGCGGTTGGAACAGATCTCAAGTACCCCATGCTTGTCTCCCCGTGGAGATCCCGGTTGGAACAGATCTCAAGTACCCCATGTTTGTCTTCCCGTGGAGATCCCGGTTGGAACAGATCTCAAGTATCCTATATTTGTCTCCCCGTGGAGATCCTGGTTCGAACAGATCTCAAGTACCCCATGTTTGTCTCCCCGTGGAGATCCTGGTTAGAACAGATCTCAAGTACCCCATGTTTGTTTCCCCGTGGAGTTCGCGGTTGGAACGGATCTCAAGTACCCCATGTTTGTCTTCCCGTGGAGTTCGCGGTTGGAACAGATCTCAAGTACCCCATGCTTGTCTCCCCGTGGAGATCCCGGTTGGAACAGATCTCAAGTACCCCATGTTTGTCTTCCCGTGGAGGTCACGGTTAGAACAGATCTCAAGTATCCTATATTTGTCTCCCCATGGAGATCCTGGTTAGAACAGATCTCAAGTATCCCATGCTTGTCTCCCCATGGAGATCCTGGTTAGAACAGATCTCAAGTACCCCATGTTTGTCTCCCCGTGGAGATCCCGGTTGGAACAGATCTCAAGTACCCCATGTTTGTCTCCCCGTGGAGATCCCGGTTGGAACAGATCTCAAATACCCCATGCTTGTCTCCCCGTGGAGATCCCGGTTAGAACAGATCTCAAGTACCCCATGCTTGTCTCCCCGTGGAGATCCCGGTTAGAACAGATCTCAAGTACCCCATGTTTGTCTCCCCGTGGAGTTTGCGGTTGGAACAGATCTCAAGTACCCCATGTTTGTTTCCCCGTGGAGATCCCGGTTAGAACAGATCTCAAGTACCCCATGTTTGTCTCCCCGTGGAGATCCCGGTTGGAACAGATCTCAAGTACCCCATGCTTGTCTCCCCGTGGAGGTCCCGGTTAGAACAGATCTCAAGTACCCCATGTTTGTCTCCCCGTGGAGTTCACGGTTGGAACAGATCTCAAATACCCCATGTTTGTCTCCCCGTGGGGTTGCGGTTGGAAGAGATGTCAAGTACCCCATGCTTGTCTCCCCGTGGAGATCCCGGTTGGAACAGATCTCAAGTACCCCATGTTTGTCTCCCCGTGGAGTTCGCGGTTGGAACAGATCTCAAGTACCCCATGCTTGTCTCCCCATGGAGATCCCGGTTGGAACAGATTTCAAGTACCCCATGTTTGTCTCCCCGTGGAGATCCCGGTTGGAACAGATCTCAAGTATCCTATATTTGTCTCCCCGTGGAGATCCTGGTTAGAACAGATCTAAAGTACCCCATGCTTGTCTCCCCGTGGAGATCCTGGTTGGAACAGATCTCAAGTATCCTATATTTGTCTCCCCGTGGAGATCCTGGTTAGAACAGATCTCAAGTACCCCATGTTTGTTTCCCCGTGGAGTTCGCGGTTGGAACGGATCTCAAGTACCCCATGTTTGTCTCCCCGTGGAGTTCGCGGTTGGAACAGATCTCAAGTACCCCATGCTTGTCTCCCCGTGGAGATCCCGGTTGGAACAGATCTCAAATACTCTATGTTTGTCTCCCCGTGGAGGTCCCGGTTGGAACAGATCTCAAGTACCCCATGTTTGTCTCCCCGTGTAGATCCCGGTTAGAACAGATCTCAAGTACCCCATGTTTGTCTCGCCGTGGAGATCCTAGTTAGAACAGATCTCAAGTACCATATGCTTGTCTCCCCGTGGAGGTGACGGTTAGAACAGATCTCCAGTGCCCCATACTTGTCTCGTTGTGGCATTCAAGGCTGGAATAGATCCCTAGTACCCCATGGTTCTCGCGAGATCCGACTTTAGTGAAGATTAGGTGGTCAGCGAGTAGCCTGGTTGATTGTATGAATCGTATCTCGACAGCATGGGTTATTTCTCACGCTGGTCCAGACACGCTTCTTTACAAGCTGGCATACTGCTTACCAAATCAACATTTAATCACGCACAGAGTGTACATGTATACATATTTATGTCATGTTTCTGTAATCAGTGATGCAATAGTTTTTTGAGACACTTCGCTGGTACTGTCAGTGCCTCTGACTGTTGGCTGACGGTAAATGTGATATCATTGTATCATTATTGTGAAAATTGATCCACTGTTACTATTTGGCCCACAGGAACCAAACTCAAAGACACAGGCAAATGGACAGGTGAGTGAACGCACACAGAACAACACGACTCTCATCACAAACGTTGCCAATATAACCTTGACACGATTCACACCAAGGCGACATCTGGGATTTCCAATAACGTTCCTTCGGAATAGATATTGTGAACTCAACCACTGTCCACATTAAGCAATATAAGCAACGTCGCTTTATTCAGGTTTTCTCCCAAAGGAACACCCAGTATACAGGGTTGTGTGTTCGTATGGTGGTGCAGCAGGCGGGAATAACTTCAGCCAATCGCTGGAGGGACTGAACATAGATTGGACGATATTGTCCAAACATGGAATTTAATTGACATAACGGCTTTTGAAGAACTTTGATAATTTTCAATGTTCGGTTGGCCACATACTCAACTCATGTCCTATCTTCAGTTTTTACAGTTCAACCAAAATGATTTCTTCCATTTGGCGCTCCCCTCCGCCTACAGCATGGATAGCGTTGGCTATATCTATGTCCCGACAGGGTGTGCCAACAAGCAACACAGTAAGTCTACCCGTGTCAAGTTTGGTTACAACACGCGAATTCGAAGGAATAGAAGGTGTCCCTGTATTTATTAAGTAACACTATGTAAAGTCATGGTTTTGAAAACTGACCGTGCGTCCTTTCATCTTAAGACACAGCTGAATGAACGTTGTTACCGGTTCATACACCACAGTGTCGTTTCAGAATGCAGACTGCATGTGGCGTTCCATGGATGTAAGATGGGAAGGTGAGCATACAGTGCAACAAATGTTTGTTTGTGTGTGTGTGTGCGTGTGTGTGTGTGTGTGTGTGTGTGTGTGTGCGTGCGTGCATGTGTGTGTGCACGCGCGTGTATATGTGTCTGTGTGTGTATCTGTGTCTGTATTTGTGTGTTTATGTGTGTGCGAGTCTGTGTGTATTTGTGTGGGTGAGCGTCTGTGTTTGTGTGCGCGTGTGTGTGGCCATGTCTCTCCGTGTGCGCGTCTGTGTGTGTGCGTGCGTGCGTGTCTATGTGTGCGTGAGTGCGTGCTTGTATGCGTGTGCGCTTCTATGTGAGGGTGCGAACGTGCGTGCGTGTTTGTGTGCGCGCATGTCTGCGTGTGCGCGTCTATGTGAGTGTGCGAGCGTGCGAGCGTGCGTCTGTGTGTGCGCGTGTCTCACTGTGTGTGCGAGTACCTGTCTGCGTTTGTGTGTACACAATAACCAACTGTTCAAAGTGCCGTTAGTCCGTCACTCAGTTAAGAGTATACAACCAGATAAAACATTCTGATATATCCTAATATATCAACAGTGTCGCCCAAAGTAACCATACAGCTACGTTTATGTATATATGTTCACAAAATGTGCACATGAATTTATATTTGTAAATCAATGTATATCTCCTACAGGATGTTTGTGGGGGAGGCGTATGTCCGCGACGCCGGCTACAACGAAGTCGGTGACTTGAACAACATCATCATCCTCTACCCTCAAGTAATATCGACGGCGACGAACTCTCAGGGCTGTTGGGACTGGTTCGGATACACCGGGTCTCTGTTTGGTGAGTATGCAAAACTACACAACGCCCACCCTACTAAACAGTTCGTGGTAACATATCGCATCTCAATGTTCAATTTCTTGATAACGTATTGTAAAAGTATTGTAAAAGTTATTGACGTTGAGTTGCCGATGGTTCGTGAATGAATTTGTTTGTTTTTGGTTCGTTGTTTAACGCCGCACATTAACATTTCTTTTTTACATGTCACTAAATTCCCCCCCCCCCAAAAAAAAAAACAAACAAACAAACAAAACAAAACAAAACAACCCCAACACACCTGAAATATATGACAAAATCTTAATATGGACCATGTCCAACTATGACCGTGAGTGCACATTTATACTAGTGAATCACTGAAGCTACACTAATTAATACTGATGACTTCATAATGAACTTTGGGGATACTGGATTATTTGCTGGTAGATTAACATCGTATTTAGCAATATTCCAGCTATATGACGGCGGGCTGTAAATAACCGAGTCTGGACCAGATATTCTAGTGATTGAAATCATGAGCAATTGGGTTACGATGACATGCATCAACCATGTCACCGAGCCTGACCACCCGATCCCGTTAGTCGCCACGGAAAGAATGGGTTGGTGAAGACATATTCTGACCCGGATCTTCACTGGTCGCTCTTGAATGGAAAGTTAGGGCGGTACTTGAACCTGTCCATTGTGGAAGCATTGGTCTTAGTAATGGTCAGTCTTAGCGTATTATTAAACACAGCAACGTGTCGAGGTTCCAACTGATGTGACAAGACCAGGACCATGCAACCAGTCTGCAAACCCGATATTAGTTGTTTTAAGCCACAGTCAGCCCATTCCAGCTGCATCACTACCTGTAAAATAATATGGGCCAGACAAACCAGATACCATTAAAACGTCCCACTCCGTCGGGCACTAGGACACACAATCAGCCGTCACCCGATCCAATTTAGCCGCCTCTTACAACCAGCAAAGGATTGCCAAGGACCTTTTTTGAGGCGGGTCCCTTTTACAATATACTCACTAGATGGGCTACCAAGAAGATCCGGGATAGAATAGGTCTTCAGCAATCTATGCTTGCTGTAAAAGGCGACTATGCTTGTCGTAAGAGGCAACTAACGGGATCGGGTGGTCAGGCTCGCTGACTTGGTTGATGTATGTCATCGTATCCCAACTGCATGGGTCGATGCTCAAGATGTCAATCACTGGATTGTCTGCTCCAGACTTGATTAGTTTCAGGCGGCCGTCATATAGCTGGAATATTGCCGAGTGATGCTAACAAAACAAACAAAACCTAGAATCGACATAACTGGTCCATGTACAGGTACAGTTCGGGTCAAATAAACTCCCGGTACAAGAGTAAAACCTTGTTTCTCAGTAATTGTGGTACTCATCTACTGGTAGGCTGAATGAGACCATCCAGCACAAAGGTGCTATTATGAACTTATTGTTTGGGCTCGAAGCTCTTTTGGACATTGACCTTGTGGGAATGCTGGATTAGACTTGTGTCCCCAGCTACCTGTACTGATCCCAAGGGGCACCTAAAGGGATCTGGCGGTCAGATTCGGTGACTCGATTGATTGCATGTTATTGTACACAAAGTGTATTGTTATTCGTATGTCAATAACTAGACTATCTGGTCCTCAGACGACTCTTTACAGGCCGTCGTCAGTGGCTACAATATGGTTGTATACAGCTTTAAAAACAAACAGCGGGATACTGAGAGTGAGCACGTCTTGTTTCAGCGACCAACAAAGGCTTCCAAATGACAGCTGTACGTCGTATGGTGTCACGTGTCATCGGATCCTCATCTTCCATAGTGGGTTAACATGGACATAATGGGCGTGACGGCTCCACCTGGCAAACTTGAAAAACAAATACAAAATCTAGACTTTGTAATGTTTATTCCAAAGGTTCCTTTCCTTGTCCAATGTAAATACAGGTATGATGGGTGATGCTATAGACACTACTGAATGATACATTGCACTTCTCCTACACACAGTAGGGAGTTATCACCAACAAGTAACATCAAGGGATGCCAATACAAGGGTAATGGTAAATGCCCAGCATAAACTAGCTGGTGTAAATATATATTCACAACTTACGTTCACAAGTAACTGCCATGAGTTAATGTGTCTTTATATGACTACACAGGTCAACACAACCGGGTTGCAGCGACGGACACAACACTGTTGACAACTGTAAACATATTACTTAACACTGTCTAGGGATAACCTGTTTACTTGTTCAATCATATCCTCAATACGAACTGTACAATGAAACAAGTTAGTTCATATTGTACCATGCGCAGTGAAGCAGATGTTCAAGCATATCCTCAATATGAACTGTACAGCAAAACGTGATAGTTCAGATGAAGCAATCTGGATCAAAAAGAAAAATGTCTGTAATAACGAGAGCGCCAGTCATGTCTAAAGCTGCTTTGAACAGTGTTTCAGTTATATCAGAGCGTGTCAGCTTCATGTGGTACCGTTTGTCATGGTTGCGGTGCTGACAAACCAAGGATCACAATCAGGGATTCAAACCCATGACCATGATTCTGGCATGTTAAGGGACGTAACTCTGTAAACTTAGACAACTTTATCACTGGGTGTCCGTCTCTGGACAAACAGTTTTCCTGGAAATAGCCAATAGCCTGTGAAAATATTGAGTATTATTTCTGACATTCACGACTGTAAGTTTACTTGATACTTCTAGACAGTAGGGGCGTCACAATACGATAATATCACATACATATACTGCTAATTACCCCAATATAGGGTACATATCAGTACACGGCAATGTGGTCTATAACAGCTTCCGTGTACAACATCAGCAACTTGCACAGCTATCATCAATGAAGGACTCTCTGAACCGCTCCGAGATCAATATAGTTCAATATTAGACTCATACCAGAAGCAATGCCAGAGTGCGCTGATACAGTTTGAACAACATGGGAAATCACATCACCTGCACAGGGACATGCTCTGCCAACGCTAGGCCTTATGTACTTTATCAGTTTACAAGACCTAAAATGAGAAGAAGAAAATACTTTTGACACAGTGAGGTGAGTTCTCAGCAATATCCCAGTTGAAAATTGAAGTCCAAAAATAGGAACAAGTTATGAATCGTAGGTCCCTATTAGGGCTGGGACGAGTCCAAATTTATTACCCGGGTACCCAGCCCCCAATTACCTATTACATCATTCAATATCATATGTAATTGCAATCCAGAAATTGTCAAAAGCTATTTGCACAGACTAAACTGAGATGTAAACGACTATCTTCCCATATGAAACAACTCTACTTCAGAGAGGCGACACAGCAGCACAAACCGGCAAACTAACAACCACGTTCAGAGTAGTTATAACAATAATTACAAAATACTCATTCTCCAAGATTTACCAGCAGTGTGTGTTGATGTCACTCAGCAATATCCCAGTCATGTCATGGCTGAGGGACACGGAATGGCTACACACATTGTACCCATGAGAAAGCAGGTTTGATGGCCAAAAGCTTTAACAAACAGGCTACACCTGTGAAGCACTGCCTTGTTATCTAGGTGTGCCCTATATGCAGGCATCCACTCTTGGTCATCACAAAAGGCTGCAACAGTGCTGACAATATGCATTCATTCTTTGTTGAATCTGAAATTGGCCATCTATTCACAATACTGGCTATTAATTTTAACAATGGCATTATTTACCACCTCTTAAGTTTTTGATATTAATTATTCAAATTGTAAAACCTATCCATATCAATCATAATGATACTTGATTAATTGTGTCCACACAGTAATCAAAATACAAACAGTATTCAAATGAGATCTGTATGAAAAAAAAAAAAATTCAGCGTTTTCCATCACATTTCTAGACATGTATGAACTAGAGTTGATGGACATACTGAAAGTCAGGATACAAGACATCATGATGCCCTCATAATACTGCCTTAATATATGCTTTTATTGTTATAACACAGAAAAACAAAAGCAGGTATGTTTGTCTACATCAGCTCATGATGTCAGATGTTATTTCAAGACAAAGGTATTCTAGTATAAGACAGAGTAATAGAACTGACAAAGCCTAAACGTCAAACAGTTGAAATTTGAAGTACAAACAAGTTATGGATGGTAGGTCCCTATTAGGGCTGGAACGAGTCCAAATTTACTACCCGGGTACCCAGCCCCCTATAACCCTACCTTAGCCAGTACAAAATATCCGATTGGGAACAGTTTGACCTTAGCCTTGGCCAAATATATTTAGATATGTGTATAAAACGATCTGGATGTGAATACCCTGAAGTTGACTGCAAAGAAATGCGAACATTAGTGACTTGTAGTGTAACCATGGCCTTCTAGATAAGTTTTGTCATTAAACAATTAATCACGAGACTAACCACAGGCTTGGGTAGTCCTGTGGGTACCCGGGTCCTACTCAGTACCCACACGACCCGAGTAACGAGTTACCCGTCCCAGCCCTAGTGCGTATACAGAATGAAGTAAATACTGTATCACATCCTTCAGAATAATATCAAGGTGAATCAGAGTGAATCTTATCAGCCTCAGTATCAACAAACCTTGAAAGTTAACATCAGGTAATATACCAACGCCAATAAAAGCAAGAAATCCTCTATCTCACAATTTCACATACACTACGAAGTGATGCTACCTGTCTCAGGACCCGAAGATGGAACAAACTACACAAACATAAAATAGAAACTATTTTATGCATTTTAGAAAAATACAAAAGATAGAAAATAAATTAAGAGTTGAAGATTTACACTTGAATTGTTTGACAAGGTAAGTCATATACCAGTAGATCATAATGGTCTAAAGATTATATGTAACCATGGTAACTGCTGGAATAAGTTAACAAATAGGTTTTAGATGGGGAACAATACAACAAGAAGATAGCTGCTACACAAGTATAAATATGCATGTGATTGTATAGGTATTGAGTAAACTGCAGTCAACAACAGTGTAAGGATGGAATCCCAGGTTGTCGCTGATACTGAAGCACTGATGCTTCCAAAAGATGTGTCAAATACTCACAAGTCGGTATCAGGGACTCTTTCAAAATATGTAAATCAAAACAAACTGAAATAACAAAAACATTACTCAGTTCAAGGTAAAATATAAGAAATGGCACAGAGGTAAAACTAGGTGTGCTCCATGAAAAGTGATATTTACCATGTCTGCCATGTGTACAGCACTCCAATAAATTCATTACTCTTCAAACTTTGGACAATTTTAGTATGTTAACTTTACTTCTAAAATTAAACAAACTAATGGACACATTTGAAACACTACACTGTAAGTAGCAGGTCTTGACTAGATCGTATAATGCACCATTTCAACGTCATAAATAAGACTTAAACATCATTCAATATCATATGTAATTGCAATCCAGAAATTGTCAAAAGCTATTTTGCACTGACTAAACTGAGATGTAAACGACTATCTTCCGATATGAAACAACTCTACTTCAGAGAGGCGATACAGCAGCACAAACCGGCAAACTAACAAACACGATCAGAGTAGTTATAACAATAATAACAAAATACTCATTCTCAAAGGTTTACCAGCAGTGTGTGTAGATGTCACACATCATTGATTGGTATGTCCACATGTAAACAGTGGAACCTTGGTAATCTGGACATAAACATCCCTGGGATCAGCCAGGTCAACACAGTTCACGTAACGACTCATGGGTATGTAATCATGTACTCAGACACTACAAGGCTATTGGTATATATTTGTGTTTCTCATCTCCCTATACTGTCCTGCTAAAAAGTAGTTAACGTTTTTATATCTACCATTTGCCCACTTGAAATATATATTGTCATGCCCTTGAAATAAAACATAGAAATTCCCATTTTTCATTAAAAACATTCTGCTTTGTTATAGAAATACAAGCTCCTCACAGCGATAGTACGTTCCCGGAGCTCTCTATACTATCGCTGCCACCAGTCAAAACTCTGTGAAAAGGTGGCCACAACCATGCTTGGAGTTGAATTCGCAACCGAATGACCGTTATGTTTACAAACAAGTGACGACTGTCGTGACGCCGAATACACTTATCGCTGCTAAATTACTTTCTTAGTTTGTCGATTTGAATTTCTGTTTCATTAAAACTATCGTGTTATTGATATAGTAAGAATGTAAGGGAGAAGTTGGTTGATTTTCCATTAGTCTGCAATCTCGAACCAATCTGATTATCAAAACAACAAAGTAAATTTATCTGGAAAACATGGTCAGTCGTAAACCTTTTCAAATTGAAATATAATGGCATTCCCAAAGACATAAACAAAAGTATAAACGTTACTACATATGGGGTTGGAGGGCAAATTTCAAGATTCTTGTAATGGCCGCGCCCACACTGGTGGCAGCGATGTTACCGAGAGTGTAACGAAGGTGTCACGCGCTGGGAAGGAGCTTGATAGAAATATTCAAAAGGGAGGTAACTCTGTTTATTGCTTTTGAACCCTCCACTTCCTACTCATAAAACTCTAACTTCATTACAGAAACAGTTGCAAGTCGAACACAGCACAATGACAACTAAACTGTGGACACATATCGAACATACAACTTGTCATTTGTATTCTCAATCAAAGCCATTTTCATATATTTTTTTTAAATATTTCCAGCCCAACTACTGCCTCTGAAACTGATGATGGAGATAAGAAACACACATATCATCCATCCATGACCAAACAGTAAATCTTCAGAAGGTGAAACTTACAAGGTCCAGATTAACAAGGTTCAACTGTGTATATCCAACCTGGTACAGCCAGTAACAGTGGTCCTCACCCGACTACTGATGAGATATATATAAACTAACTAATGTGACTTGAAGTGTGTACATGCCATTTACAGGGGACCCTATATCAAGCAATTACATTGCCAACATTCATCTCCTAAGGTATCAGTTTGATTAATAAGCAGCAACAGGAAACTACATTTCTAATATTGTTGAAAACATACCATCAACTGTTTTGACTTGCATTTGCACAAAAACATCTTTGATTTGTATATTGCACGGTTCATAAACATATTTACTAAACTGTAATTACTACATCATATTTCAGTCAAATATCAAATGCGGCAAACATCTACAAAGCTATCAGTCTAAGCTACATAATGCTTATTATGCTTTAGGTAAATGTCACACAGATTTATCAGAAACAACGTTTGTGGGCCTAGTGAGTGAGTGAGTGAGTGAGTATGGTTTTACGCCGCTTTTAGCAATATTCCAGCAACATCACGGCGGGGGACACCAGAAATGGGCTTCACATATTGTACCCATGTTGGGAATCGAACCCGGGTCTTCAGCATGACGAGCGAATGCTTTAACCACTAGGCTACCCGACTGCCCCTTGTGGGCCTAGTACTGATGACAGCACTATACAGGGGCACCTGCTGCAGATGGTCTGGCATTCCACAAGGGGATCTTCACACTAAGACCTCCATACTTAACATACACTAACAACAGACTGTTGTACGTGGCCCTTAATCCCACTAACTCTGAAGGATTACTGATGAAGGGAGGTAACTCTCCCCAACTATAGGTGCAGGCTGAAGCACATTCAGTTAATGTGATGTGTATGGGGATCAAGCTGTGCTCCAGCCTACAGCCATACACCTACTGCAATACAAGACATTTCTTTGTCATATAACGGATAGTATTCTCGATGCCATAAATTAATCCAATAACCTTGGTTTGGTCTCACGATCTGATAAAGTTTCCAAAACATCAAGTATGTAAAGAATGACCATGACCATGACCAACCATATTACAGTAAAACATTAAGTAAACTGAAACAAATTAAGACCTCTTGAAGATACTGTTGGAAAATAGTATTTAGTAATTCTCACAACATCGTGTCCTCCCATGTCCTGTTCCGCAACAGTGATCTTAAGTTGATCATAACTCATATTCTTTAACATAGGTTTATGACAGTCATAGCTCTATGTGATCGAACACGGAACAGGACCCAGTTCTATATCATAACACAACCTTGGAGTTTTGGCTTACAGTCCGAGAAGAACAATGGCTGAAAACAACCAACTGAATGATTCTAAAAAAGATTGCTTGTGTTGAACTGTCTCTCGGACATATCAAAAAGATCTTATTAGGTACATATCTTGGACGTCAGCAAGAATGTGAGGTCACAATACCCTTATTCATAACTGGACATCAAAGCTGCAATCAGAAGATGCATTTCCCTCAAATGAATATAAGTTTTCAAAATATGTAATTTGGATGTTATTATTTTGAAAAAATCGTGCCATTACTTCTCTCAACTAAATTCTCACATTAAAACCCACATTAAACATGTGCTTCAAAGTACTTCAGTCTATGTTTTGGATGGTGGGCCCCCATACCGCATGTTATGTAAACCTGTGTTCATGGCTGAGAATGTGTGCGAGTGTGAGCCTGTAGAGTAATGTATAGTGAACAAAAAAAGTTAGGGATCGTGGATATTTTTTTGGAAATTATATTTTTAGTGAAGACTTTGCACACAATTTCATCAAGTATCACCCCAAATATTCACGCCTCAACTTTTATTGTTGTGTATATGTCCTGGGGAGATGCACAGGTGTATGGGAGGAGGAGGGGGCCCCATGCTGAAGGCAACTACAATCACCACGTCCAACACAATGCCGAGTACACATGTTGATATTGAGCACAATTTTGATTTAAGTGAAATGACAATCTAATGTAACAATGACACCAATATCCATCGGATTATCTTGAATATTGCAATAAAACTGACTTGTGATTGTAAAAATAAACATAAAATAACCATCCAACAATTTCTATTATAAGACAAGATGAAATGCAACTGACAAAAGCTGACAGATATAAATCAATACAAACATAAATTGTGACTAAAAAGTCTCAGAAAATAACAAAACACATTTATGCACATAAAAAGCAATGAAAGCATGTATACCCTTATAAAGCAATATATTCTGAAAGTAACACTTGATTCCAAATATAATTATGATTAAATATGTAATGGTGAAATACGTAATAAACTTCATGGTAAGGACTGAAATATTCAGTGTAATACTTGTCATGTCAAATACCTGGAAGACAGCCACAACAGGGAGCTAGCTACCCTTCGTACTAATCGAGTTAAGAGTATGAACAAATTACTGACCATAAAAATGGCCTTTTGTCTAATATCAAGAGGGTGAAACTGAAGTTGAGCGTCTCAGCTCTCAACTAACGCTGTTAAGGTGTCTATAATCTTAAGTAGTTATTACATAAATATGTGCGTTCCAACAAATGGTTAGATTCTACACCTTGGACAAAACAACTCGGTGAGAATGTTACAGAACATAAAGGTGAGATTCCCCTGCTGGTTGTCTGTGTGATTGTGGCGCTAGACAGGTCAGATGCAGGGTTCCACGTAGTTGGAGGGGAACAGCCCTGTGGTGCCGTCCATCACACCCTCCCACCAGCCGTCGTCATTCTTCTTTATCACATAGATGACTGCATTCTCAGAAAATGTCAGCTCGTCGCCCTTGTCAGCATCATAGTCAAATATTGCAACCACTGAAACATTCCATTGCCACGTTAATTTGCATTTCTCAGCGACAAATAACATTTTTAGTCCACTATTCCTTATAATGATAACATAGCAAAACCCTTCAAAATTGGCAAATTTCTACTAGTCTTTATTATACCTTAACTATTGGGCAGTTTCGCAAGGACTACAGGACTAGTGCCAATTTCTAACACTGTGTCTTCTCAGTGTACTTCCCATTCCGGGACAGAATAGGTCAAGACAGTTGACAGGAGACTTTGTTCCAGTGGTAATGCGACCTGGCTTATTGTGCAGCCTTTGAAGTTCACGCTAGTCTGCTAGCCTGCGACACCTAACCTGTGTTGTGGACAAGCAAGAATCAAATGATAGTAGGCCTCATTACCAGGGGTTATTATTCTTAACCTGTTCTCAATGACTTAATTTTGCTACGAATTGGTAAAGAATGAAACTGACAGAAAATGTAAACACTGTAAACGTCTTGTTCAAGCAGGCCTAGCTACAGAATCTGAGGATCAGTGACATCAGATTATACTTCCTCTGGACCAGTTGAAAAACAAAACTAATTTCTGAGTCTGACTGACTGTGTCATTATGACTACTCTGTGATGTGGAAGGTTCCATGGCCCAAACCCCATTATTCACGGGTCGCCATGACATAGCGGGAATATTGCTGACTGCGGCATAAAACAACAATAGTTCACTTCCCCGAAAGTTATGAAGTAAATTGCACCCACAAAGAATAATGTGGCAAGGTGCAACACAGACGGCACATCTACCTGGGACACCTGGGCCACCCCCACAACTGTGCACAACTCTGGTCCAACAGCTGGTATGTTGAATTGGTCACCCCCACAACTGTACACAACTCTGGGACAACAGCTGGTGTGTTAAACAGGCCTCTCTCTCCCTGGGTCATCCTCTACCCACCTTACCCCGGAATCTCCATGCCAGTTATACTTGCTGATACTGCTGTGACGTGGAGTGTGACCCACCTTACCCCATAATCTCCATGCCAGTTATACTTGCTGATACTGGTGTGACGTGGAGTGTGACCCACCTTACCCCGGAATCTCCATGCCAGTTATACTTGCTGATACTGGTGTGACGTGAAGTGTGACCCACCTTACCCCGGAATCTCTATGCCAGTTATACTTGCTGATACTGCTGTGACGTGGAGGGTGACCCACCTTACCCCGGAATCTCCATGCCAGTTATACTTGCTGATACTGGTGTGACGTGAAGTGTGACCCACCATACCCCAGAATCTCTATGCCAGTTATACTTGCTGATACTGGTGTGAAGTGGAGTGTGACCCACCTTACCCCGGAATCTCTATGCCAGTTATACTTGCTGATACTGGTGTGACGTGGAGTGTGACCCACCTTACCCCGGAATCTCTATGCCAGTTATACTTGCTGATACTGGTGTGACGTGGAGTGTGACCCACCTTACCCCGGAATCTCTATGCCAGTTATACTTGCTGATACTGGTGTGACGTGAAGTGTGACCCACCTTACCCCGGAATCTCCATGCCAGTTATACTTGCTGATACTGCTGTGACGTGGAGTGTGACCCACCTTACCCCGGAATCTCTATGCCAGTTATACTTGCTGATACTGGTGTGACGTGGAGGGTGACCCACCTTACCCCGAAATCTCTATGCCAGTTATACTTGCTGATACTGGTGTGACGTGGGGTGTGACGTGGAGTGTGACCCACCTTTCTCCTGGTACTCCTTGGGCACCCAGGCTGGCTGGGCGGTAAACTGCGGCCCCGTGGCGGCGTAGGGATCCTCCTCCTTGTGCTGGTGGTTCTGCGGATGCTCCTCATAGTCGTCGCTGAAGTTGTGGGGTGGGGGAGGGGCCGACCCTCCGTATTCAAACTTAGGGGGACCAGGGCCAGGTCGAGCATGCTCTGGGGGAGGGGGGAGAGGTGGGGATGCTGAAATAGTAGGTTACATACATCACTGGTGGCAGACATGATCAATGACTAAGTGTACAGGTGTGGACTTTATGTAAAAAATGTCAGTAAGCTCAAATGTGATTTATCAGGGGTTTATCTAAACATACTCAGAGGATGATAGTCAGCGCCCTGTATGCAGCAAATGTGAAAAAAGAAATTCCTGGATTGGGATTAAAATGTCAATATGGTTTTAGCCAATGTTAGGCTGTAAAGGTGACTTGTTTGTCACTGATATCATGATCAGTAATGAGGAACAGGCTGTATTGCTTAGACTTACAATGCCATGTTAAAATAAAGTGTTAAAGTAAACGTACCCTTTATTAAGAACATAAGAACTTATGAAAATATCAATTTTGAACAACAAAACAACTATTCTTGTCTCTGGGCACTTAGTCCTAGATAAATGCCTGTTTCATAAAACGACTGTCTATTTATCATGTTCATACTTAGGTCAAAGTAAAACAAGATATTTTATGGATGACAACTTCTTATTCAATTATTTTGCGACGTTTAGGCTAATAAAAATAAAAGAATTGGTTCTCAGACAATGACTTTTGAAAATATAGTGTGGGCAATATTTTGCTTTTTCAAACTAGTACGTAACCAAACAAGTGCAAAAGTGAGCGTGACTCACTAATACCCCTGACCTGCCTAGTGTGTCAGTAGTTACAAATTAAATAGCTAGGATAGGGTTAGGGTTTGAAAAATTCATAAAAAAATGGAAAACTAATAAATACAATATTTTACTTTTGACTGCATCCCTCCATATGACACATATTATATGTACTAAGTTTGAGATGAATCCACTGAATAGTTTAAGAGAAATCGCGCGGACAAAGTTTTCAGACAGACGTTAGGGTTTGAAAAATTCATAAAAAAATGGAAAATTAATAAAAACATTTTTTTTCTTTTGACTGCACCCCTCCATATGACACAGATTACTAAGTTTGAGATGAATCCCCTGAATAGTTTAAGAGAAATTGCGCGGACAAAGTTTTCGGACGGACAGAACCTTGGTATAACTATATACCCCCGACATTTTGTTGGGGGTATAATAAACAGTTGTGTACCATCAACCTGGGATAGGGCCTCCCAACATAAACAAGCAAACAAACTCCCATTGCCTCCATGTCCATAACAGGAGATGCACAGTAAAGCAGTGCGCATGTAAAGGGAAGTAACTTCGTGCTATATTGATTGGATCACATTGTATTTAAGCAATAGGATTTGTAAACAAGAGTGCTCTAAGAGCACAACATCCCCCGCATGAATTTTTTTAACGAGTCAAACGAAGCTCCGTAAAACAGGGGCCGTAAACTCTGTCAAAATTAGTCGAAACGAAACGGGACTGCGATATGCGTATCATCAACATGTCGACATCTTGTGTGTAGACACTGTAGAGTGTCAGGGATATTCTCTGGAAACTGTAGGAGGAGTTGATTTCACAAGCTTAGTACCCTCTCTCACAATTAGGCAAATAAAGCTCCGTAAAACAGGGGCAGTAACTCAGTCAAAATTAGTCGAAATAAAACGGGACTGCGATATGCGTATCATCAACATGTCACCATCTTGTGTGTAGAGTGTCAGGGATATTCTCTGGAAACTGTAGGAGAAGATGATTTCACAAGCTTAGTACCCTCTCTCACAATAAGGCAAATGAAGTTCCGTAAAACAGGGGCAGTAACTCAGTCAAAATTAGTCGAAACGAAACGGGACTGCGATATGCATATCATTAACATGTCAACATCTTGTGTGTAGAGTGTCAGGGATATTCTTTGGAAACTGTAGGAGGAGTTGATTTCACAAGCTTAGTACCCTCTCTCACAATTAGGCAAATGAAGCTCTGTAAAATAGGGGCAGTAACTCAGTCAAAATTAGTCAAAACGAAATGGGACTGCGATATGCGTATCATCAACATGTCGACATCTTGTGTGTAGAGTGTCAGGGATATTCTCTGGAAAGTGTAGGAGAAGATGATTTCACAAGCTTAGTACCCTCTCTCACAATAAGGCAAATGAAGCTCAGTAAAACAGGGGCAGTAACTCTGTCAAAATTAGTCGAAACGAAATGGGACTGCGATATGCGTATTATCAACATGTCGACATCTTGTGTGTAGAGTGTCAGGGATATTCTCTGGAAACTGTAGGAGGAGTTGATTTCACAAGCTTTGTACCCTCTGTGGGACGGACAGATGGACGGACTGTGGCACGACATAATCCCCCTTTGGCCATTCTGGCCCAGCGGGGGATAAAAAAACTATTTAAATGGAAACAAAAAAGAAATGTGCTGCAGACTTTCTGATGATGCAGGTGGTGCCTGAGAACCAAGTTTGGAAGCCTTAGGTAAAGATTCTTATACCACTGTCAAGCAAAAGTTGCTTGATAACAGTATAGGGATCAATACCAAAACGTCTCATCATAATAGAATAAAGAAGACGTCATCCAAAAAAATATCTTGTCTTTACTGATACTTCTAAAGATGTTAATCAAACAGTTCATATCTAGGTAACATATATTAAATTTCAAGGCCAATACATCAAGCTTAAAGTGGATAAGATAATTATGGATCTTATTTGGAGGAAAACCAGTGGTTGATATCATGAGCAGCATCACACACTGTCCAGATACAAGGACACGTAATAAACCACATCACCAAGTATGACCACCCAACTATCTTGGTTGCTGCTTATGACAAGCAGTACTATATAGATACCTTGTCACTGACCAAGCAACATGTGCATGTATCTTTAGGCTAAACATGTTTAGTGACACACTAACTACAAACAATACTAACTTTGTACATCAATCTACATGATGCCAGGCTAAACAGTAAAGGACACAAATCCATGTAACTTGAAGACAGAAAGTCACCAGTTGATGATGATGAGAATAGAAGCATGCAAACCTGGTATTGTCATGACATCGACCGAGCGGTTGACATCTGGAGGCGGGGGATCTGTAATATACACAATCATGCAACATTCACAACACCTACAAGCAAAAGGAATAGAAAAGTAGTATTATATATACCAAAACCCTGAAAACAGACAAAGTCTGGCTGGCTAAATATGTTCAACTGAATGAGAGTCAGACACAGATCACACACTAGTCACAGTAGGAGATCTGACTTGACACAGACAAACTTGTGTCTGACAGTGTAAACATGCGTCCAGTCTGTCTGGGGCATCCCCCATTATGCAGTGTAATGTCCTATCAAGTCTATGTTGGTAAATACCCTGGGCCAATCACTTACAAAGTTTTGTTTTGGGTCTGATTTGAATGACACAAACTAAAAATAGCCCTAGAACCTGTACAGGGGATGCAACTCTTGCATCATATTCGGAGGAGATCTTTCCCAAACTCTCATTCAGACAAGTGAGAAAACTCATTTTGATTAGTTGTTGACTTCAAACTCACATGGAGGGAAAATCTGTGGCAAGCTAAGAGGGATGGAGACATTACTTCCCAACAGAAGCTATGGTAGCTAGCGGGTCCAGGGTAGTTATCATAGTGGAACGGGGATATAACACACTGGACAATGGAGGATGTCTCACGGAATGACGACACCAAAGTACTACCAGCCAGGTCACAGCAGACCGTAGTCATCCCATACCATCAAGGCAACTTCACAGCTCAGTGTGAGGACCAAGTGTGAAACCCAAGTGAAACCCAAGTGTGAAACCCAAGTGTGAGGCCCAAGTGTGAAACCCAAGTGTGCGGCCCAAGAGTGATACCAAAGTGTGAAACCCAAGTGTGAAAAGGCCCAAGTGTAAAACCCAAGTGTGAAACCCAAGTGTGTGGCCCAAGAGTGACACCAAAGTGTGAAACCCAAGTGTGACCCAAGTGTGAGACCCAAGTGTAAGACCCCAGTGTGAGACCCAAGTGTGAGGTTTCAATGGACCTGATAGATGTAGATCATGGAAAGTCATGGTAACAATGTCATGTTTACTGGGCAGGTTCTACTTACACCCAGTAATAACAATATGGCTACAAAATTACATATTTTCTAATTTTTCTATGGATTATTCTATTACAGATATTCATGTTCTTGTTGCCCTGTGAGTGAGTTAGTCAGTGAGTCAGTGAGTGAGTACAAGGGCCTTCACAGACAGCGCACATCAAACAGCCTCAGTGTGGTGAGGGAACACACACGTTTCCACATCTCAGTAAGTTATCCTACTGACAAGATCAACCACCTAAGACTTTCTTGCGTGTGATGTCAAAGTCATGAAGAAAAAAGAAATCATACAAGGATAGCACCATAAACAATCTGAATCCAGTACACAATTCATGCAGTTCCTATTGCGACTACTGCAATATGTGAATATATGCACAAGCAACTATCTCTCCTGAGACAAAGGCTGGCACCATGTTCATAAAGCAATGTTAGCACTGTGTCATGTGTCGGTGTGCTAACATGGCTTTGTGAAATGTTCCTAGATAAATTCAGTGGGACTACTACTAGTCTAACACACAGAGGTGGTCAAGATGAAATGAATGCCAGAGGCACAGGGAAGCAGAACATCACCAAACATTGTGCAGTAGAAGAAAGGGCGAAGGCTGCACCTTTCATTGTTTTGCCACCGTCCTAAAATGACAACCGGTAGTTATCACTGATAACGCCTACCTGGGTGACACAGAACCTATTTGTTCCGACCATTCCCCTAAATGGCGATTCTAAGACTAAGCAAGGATATTCTCAGTTCCAGACATGGGTACATCATCAAACACATTGTTTCTGCTTTTGAGCTTAAGTCAGGGTAAGAGAAACATGAGGACAAATTTTACAAAAAAGTATAATAATATAATAAACTGACACAAATTCTTCTCCACCAGTACAATACTTAGGACAGTTACCCAACTTCCATGCAACTTGGTTAAGATGGCACACAATCACAAAACCATGAAAACTGATGCAATGAATTTGTTAGTTACTTTTTTGTTTAACACCACACTTTGCAATATTCCAGCTATATGATGGCAGCCTGTAAATCATGGAGTCTGGACCAGACAAACCAGTGATCGATATTGTGAGCAACACTCCATGACATAGGGGTATTATGACCACCCAATCCATTTCTTCGCCTCATACGACCACCAGGTTGCAGGCCAAGAGCATGGTCTATTACTAACAAGCATGGGGAACCTGGGAAGCTGGATATGTTACTGCTGAATACACTGCTACATATACACATCAAGATATATGTCCTAGTCTACGGTTGCCATAGTCTATGGTACAGAAGATAGAGGGTGAGAGACCATGCAGGATGGAGAAGGAGGAGGAGGAGGGGGAGTATCTCACCTTTCCAGCCATGGCTGGCATATCGGAGCTGAGCTGTAGGGAACAAGAGACAGATCATGTACAACACACGTCTACAGGTAACTGGACAAACCAAGACAAAGTGTTCACATAAACAGGTGAATGAATGCAATATCCCAGCTATATCAGCCTCAAGGTTTAACATGTTTAATCTAGCCTGGATAAAGGAAACCAGTGGTTGACAGTATGAGCACCTTATAACAAGGACACCACATGAGCCAGGCTACAACAGTAAATGTTGATGACATCACCTCAAATTTCACTGTAGCTGCAGCGTTCATGGGTTACTATGAACACAAAATTTGAACTTGCACAAAACTTTTCAAATTAACATGTACTCTAGGATGTTTTGTATTCACTACAGAAGCAAAACCAACATTTCTAGTTCTTAAAAAAAAAGGACTTTGAAGAGGAAAGCAAATTTTCTTCATGAAGACTTCCAGTGTCAAGTCTCAAGTTGTATACAGTTACATACTCGTCAGTGAACCTATACATAACACATACAAACATGCAGAACATACATACAAATATACATACCAACTGAATCTTGGTAGGCCAATGGTGGCTGTGTGGGTCGTACCATACTGGGAGATGCTGGGGGGCCAGGCCTTTGTGAAATGGGTCGTGCCATTCCAACAAGGGGGGGTGAGTGCACTGTCCCCATGACACTGGGGGCATAGTTCATCTCGTACCGCTCCCTGGGACCTGGTTGAGGAGGGTGGTGGATCACTTGGCCAAAATGTGAATGCTGATTGGCTGGCACAGACGGTGGAGCCACTGGGGGTGCGACGGAGCGGTAATGGCCTCCCTGGCTCCGCCCAAGGGTTCCTGAGTTGGAGCTAGCTGTAGAGCCAGACCTTGTAATGGGTGGGGTTGGTGGTTTCGTCGTTGGTGCTTGGGAGCCTTGGCTGCTGATGGATGGTGTACGGTTGGGCCGTGGAACAGACGAATGCAACTGAAAATAATTAAGAAACATTATAAAATGTCAGTAACCATAGTAACACTTTACTTCCACCTGTTGAATGGACAAAAACATCTCTGAATCACTGTTTATTCTAAACATGCTAAAGCCGTTTGTTGTTGAGATTTTTCTCTATGATGTGCCACGCAATTTAGTGCAGGTCAAGATGTCATTTGTACCGGGGGTGAAAATGACTGGGTAGTCACTGAAATCAGTTATTACTAAAATATATATGAGTGAAGAACTCAAATTACATTTGCTATCCTGCCAATTTGGCAAACCATGATATCTCTCAGATCCTGACATGATATTTAGTTACAGAATTCAGTCTGCTGAAATCTTTTTGTTTTTGTTTGTTTGTTGTTCAATGCGACACTCTGCCATATTCCAGCTAAATGACAGCGACCTGTAAATAATTGAGTCTGGACCAGACAAACCAGTGATTGACATCATGAGCTACAATCCACACAATTGGGATAAGATGACATCCATCAACCAAGTCAAAGAGCCTTACCACCCCATCCCGTTAGTCACCTCTTATGACATGCATAGTCGCCTCTTACAACAAGCATGGGTTGCTGAAGACCTATTCTAACCCCGATCTTCACGGGTGCTGCTGAAATCTAAGTGACAGTAAAGAACTCTGCAATATTTCTTATCCATGTGATATTGTGCTTTGTAGTTTTATAACAGCCATTCTTTCTAAGCATTTTGAAGAGGTAGGGGAAAACATGACCGATAATGATGTTTGTAGATTTTACCCTAACTCCGTGGCCAATGTCATCCAATACTGTGTAGTCAATGGGTTTGCGGGTATATTTGATTGGTCGTTCAGCCTGCTCAGGGAATACAATACCACTCTTCACTCCCAGAGGGCGGGTTGAACTTCTGTTTGTTGTCAAAACACCAATTTCTCTTCTTGCAACTTTCTCCTTGTGGATGTTTACAATCTGAAATAATAATGAAAATAATAACACCATTTTACATCACAACACAAACTAAGCTATATGGTACCTGTGAGACGGTTGACACTGAGAGACTACGTGGTACCTGTGAGATGGTTGACACTGAGAGACTATATGGTACCTGTGAGATGGTTGACACTGAGAGACTATATGGTACCTGTGAGATGGTTGACACTGAGAGACTATATTGTACCTGTGAGATGGTTGACATTGAGAGACTTTATGGTACCTGTGAGATGGTTGACATTGAGAGACTATGTGGTACCTGTAAGATGGTTGACAATCAGTTACTATGTGGTACCTGTGAGATGGTTGACAATGAGAGACTATATGGTACCTGTGAGAGGTGGTTGACACTGAGAGACTATGTGGTACCTGTGAGATGGTTGACACTGAGAGACTATATGGTACCTGTGAGATGGTTGACACTGAGAGACTATATGGTACCTGTGAGATGGTTGACAATGAGAGACTATATGGTACCTGTGACAGATGGTTGACACTGAGAGACTATATGGTACCTGTGAGATGGTTGACAATGAGAGACTATATGGTACCTGTGAGAGATGGTTGACACTGAGAGACTTTATTGTACCTGTGTGAGATGGTTGACACTGAGAGACTATATGGTACCTGTGAGATGGTTGACACTGAGAGACTATATGGTACCTGTGAGATGGTTGACACTGAGAGACTATATGGTACCTGTGAGATGGTTGACATTGAGAGACTATATGGTACCTGTGAGATGGTTGACACTGAGAGACTATATGGTACCTGTGAGATGGTTGACAATGAGAGACTATATGGTACCTATGAGAGATGGTTGACACTGAGAGACTTTATTGTACCTGTGTGAGATGGTTGACAATCAGTTACTATGTGGTACCTGTGAGAGATGTTTGTTTGTTGTTTAACGCCGCACTCAACAATATACCAGCTATATCATGTATATGATGGCCATCTGTATATAATTGAGTCTGGACCAGACAATCCAGTGATTGGCATCATGAGCATCAATCCTGTGAGAGATGGTTGACACTGAGTGACTATGTACTACCTGTGAGAGATGGTTGACACTGAGAGACTATATTGTACCTGTGTGAGATTGTTGACACTGAGGGACTATATTGTACCTGTGAGAGATGGTTGACGCTGAGTGACTATGTACTACCTGTGATAGATGGTTGACGCTGGACTCCATCTCGGCCAGTTGGTTCTGCTGCAGGTCGAGGAGCTTGAGGAAGTTGGTTGCCAGGCTGTTGATCTGGTAGGCCACACTGGCCAGAGAATGTGTTGTATAGTTTTTAGTTTCTTCCAATGCATGGCGCTTGTCCTTGGCCTACAAACATGTAGAATGCTCAGTATTAGCAACATGGCTGGGTACAACAAAGATACATTTGGTTGAACATGTTGAAACTAAGGATGTAACAGCACACTGATGCAACAATGTCAACATGTATGTTTTAATGCCACTTTTAGCAATATGAGGGGACACCAGAAATGGGCTTCACATATTGTACCCATGTGTTATGCAGTGATGTGTTATAAGCTACCATGGTCATAAGAAATTAACGATGAGGAGGACTTGTTTATCGTACAATATTTTTTTAGATGTGAAGTTTACATGATATATGGCTTTTCCATTGGATGAGAGGTCGGTCACATGACCGTGAAATTGACACTCATAAGTGTATGAATGACAAAAGTTGACGTTCATATGTTTATCACGAGACGGTTACAGGAAGTGATGTAAACACTACTTCCACATTCCTCGGGTAACCCCTGGCTTTCACTGGCACGAATACATACAGAATACATACAGAATACATACAGAAGTGTTGTTTCTGATCAATTAGACCCTTTAAAAAATCTTGAACTCAGAGTATTAGCATACATTGAGAAATGTCAGAGAGTTTGACTGCATGAGTGTTCACAAATATCCTTGCAACGACCCATACTAGCGAAAAAAGAAAAGAAATGCACATTGTAACTATCGTAGTATCGCCTCGATCCGTGTCTAGACTGACAAGTGACAGCCTACAGAAATCGATGATTTTACCTTAATATCTATAGGACACATCTCTATAAACACCCTTCAATGATCGGCTAACTGATCAATGATGATCAACAGATATAACTGCCACATGTTCATTATTAACAACTTTGGAAATCTCTCCTGTCACACGTTTATCGTGTCGGCCGTATTAACGTCTTGTACTTGATGTAAATGTATTACAGTACGCTGTCATTCTGACTGATTTGCTGAGGTCATTCTTTACACAACTTTCTCATCCAAAGACGATATTATTTGAATATATTTGTTGTAAACAAACTACAACAGTTTTCTGTGGAGCAAGTTGAGCATACATACGCTATTGTCACCTCCCTTTTTGAGCAACTATCTTATTCCATGAAACAGATGGTTGTTGTACGGCCTTCTAGTCACACTAGATACTAAATAAAATTGTGTATAGATCTCAACCTACATCCTTCCAGGTAAACATTTGTGATATACAAGGTGAAAGTCAATTCTTATAATTTTTTATATCACTAATTTTTACAAGATAGACACAATTTTATGGATAACAACTTCTTTAATACTGTAAAAAGCGACGTTTCGGTATAGATCCTTATACCGTTGTCAAACAAGACTGAATGAGGGACATAGTGCAGAATATATATAGCAAGTGGAGGATTAACAGTAGAGGATTAACAGTAACAACAAGGGCATACATGAGTGGGATAACATAGGTAGGTGTGACAACAAGGATGATGCTATCACAACACGATGGACAGAAAACACATAGCTAGAAGCCAATGGGGCATGAAGCCAATAAACAGGTGATTATTGTTTGATGAGTTCATAGTAGGCGGATGGGATGAAATAGCCTTGATCTCTGTTGATTGATGGGTTGTGGCAGCGAATGTGGACTGCTTCTGTTAGTTTTCTTTTGGTGAAATCATGGAGGTTGTTGGCGAGGATTTGGACGTTGTCCCAGTTGATGATGTGATTGGGACAGTTGATATGGTCCGAGATGGCTGATTTGCTGTCGGATTTGATGGTGGAGGTTTTATGCTCTTTGATTCTAGTGTTGATTGGGCGGGATGTTTCACCTACGTAAGATTGCCGCAGTTGCAGTCAATTTTGTAGACTACACCTTTAACCTCTTGGGGTTTAGATGTGTTCCTGCCGTTGGCTCTTAGCAGGGTGTTGAGGGAGTTGGAGCTGGTGAAGTGGGTGTCGATGTTGGCTTGCTGTTTGAGGAGGCGGCTGATGATGTGGGAGGCTTCTCCTATGAACGGGAGGGCGATGCGGAAGGGCGCTGATTCGGGTTTAAGGGCCGCAGGTCTGGGTGTGGGATAGAGTACAAAGGCGATGACTTTGTCGACTAGTTTGGCCGGATAATTGTTGAGGTGGGTGAAGACTTGGCGGAGGTGTGCGATCTCAGGTTTGGGGTCAGCAGAGGAAAGGTTGATGGCACGTTTGGTAAGGGTGGAAATCATCCTTGTTGTCACACCTACCTATGTTATCCCACTCATGTATGCCCTTGTTGTTACTGTTAATCCTCTACTGTTAATCCTCCACTTGCTATATATATTCTGCACTATGTCCCTCATTCAGTCTTGCTTGACAACGGTATAAGGATCTATACCGAAACGTCGCTTTTTACAGTATTAAAGAAGTTGTTAACCATAAAATTGTGTCTATCTTGTCATCCACCAACTTCTAAGTAATGCCTATCAAACACACTAATTTTTACCTCGAAGGATATAGGTTGAGATCTATGCACAATTTTATTTAGTAAAATGAACTCCAATGAACTCATACAAGGTGAAAGTCAATTCTTATAATTTTTTATGAGTTCATTGGAGTATGAACCTTCAAAGTGTGAGGGCCAAACATTGTATGTACTCATACAAAGGGAAAGCCAATTCTTAAATAAAACACTGCAGGGAGAATAAACCATGAGGGGTGCCCTACCCTCTCAAAATTAAGGTTGTCCAATTTTTGACGCCATCGAAGTTGTGTGTGTGTGTCCGAATCTCGAGAAATGACATAATGATAGAACAATGTTTTAACATGAAATAAACCATGTTTCGTTATTTATTGTTCTTGATGATTTATCACATAGATATCTCACATTAACTTAAAATACCAGGTGCTAAGAAGTATGTATATAATTTTTTTTTTTATTTATTTATTTTATTTTATTGGTGAAAGACTGGAAAAAAATGGAAGTGGACACAATAAGACTATTTCAACTCACTACACACCACTGCATTTCTAGCAATGTCCTAAATTTGCTAAATATATGGTAGTTGCAATCAATTTTATCACTGGAGTCTGATTTCGAGTGATATGACATATGACACTTTGACATCCCCACTGCTCTGTACCCGTATAATACTGTATCTTCATAAACAGGACATCCAAAGCACATACAACAGTAGGGGCACCTCAACTCGTACTCGAAACAATCGATTTCTGTGTTTATTATCGTCAAGGACAATTTTCACCATATTTTTCATAACACTGTCGTCAGTGTCCCAGACATAAAAATAGTGATCGGACATTTGCCGGCATATAATAGCAATTGTTGGGAATTTTGTTGTACTGCTTGCTGTTTTCTCTTTTATTTATTCTTTCTTTTTTCCTCTTTACGTATTAAAATCAGACCATTTTACGCATCGTATAACACTCTCGGCCCAGGATACAGACACGACATCGATTATAATCTAGCCTATGTGAGATGTTTATGAAAAACAATGTTTTGAATGACAGGTGCGTTCATGGACGATGTCGTCTGTATTTAGGACGCAATAGCAATTAAAGTTATCTCAACCTGAAGGTAGTTTCCTTCGCAATACTGTGCAACCCTTTCCAAGTTGGCATGGCTGTCCTGTAAACTCTGGCGTCCCTCTGGAAGCTCTGCCTCAATCAACTGCATCACTTCGTTTGCAGCCATTTTTGTATCCGACTTCCGGTAAGCGCATTCAGAACATCTCGTTATCCTCCGACTCCCTCATCACTTCGTTGTCACTCGCTCCTTCAGTAGCCGAGCTGCGGATTACGTCGCGCTTTTCGAACGCGAGGACATTCGGGTTACTTCGGCGTATTCCGTAAAAGTAGATGTGACCTAGTGACTAACATATATTTTGTGACGCCACACAATATTAGTGAATCAGCCGTGATCAGTCAGCTGAATTTAAGAGATGAGCTTTTGGTACCATGCACGTTCACAAGGCTCGCGTCCTTGGGTGTAGCCTGTCTCCCTGAACCATATTATCCGTTCCACTCAGCCCTAACTGTGATGCACATGCCTTAAATGAAGCAAGTCTAGATTTCCCTCAGGTTCTTAATCACTCATCTCAATGGGACTCCTTTCCAATTTCAGTGGAGTTATTTGTTTCTATCAATATTATATGTTTTCAGAGACATAGCGTTAGTCTACCTTGGATGCTGCAATACTACCAACTCATTTATTGGTGGCATCATACTTCGTATTTCTGAAAGATTTTATGCCGCTTCATTTAATAATTTGTTATGTTACATTATTTAAAGTGATCATCAGTTTTTTAACTCCTCTATTTTGGGGGTAAAAATCACTCCAAATTTAATAAAGCATAAATATCAATTTTGGGGATTTTTTTCGTATTGCTTGCTGTTTTCTCTTTTAATTGTTCTTTTTTTTCTCTCTCTTTACATATTAAAATCAGGACCTTTTACACATCCTATAAAACACTATTTAATGTAGTGATGAACCAAATTCCTCGAGTCTCCATAACAGAAATTGTTTTACAGAATTTGATTCTGTGTGTAGAACCCAAATTGCCTTGACTGTCATTCAGGAGTTGTTACTGCTTCACGTACCAACAGCTGAAATAACAAATAGGACTACTATGCTTGTCAGGTGATGGTTTCCAAATCAACTACTGCCATCATAGGTTTCTTCCCAAAATATAAATTACTACCCAAATTGTAAAACAGACAATCTTCTAGGTCTTCATCCAAGTTCAAATATCCATTCCCAGGGTCATATCGTTCGTAACCGGGTTCGCATATGGTCCAATAACAACATCACATACAATATCACTCAACTTGATTTTATTCTTAAGTGTGATAATGGAAGAGCATTTGTACAAGTAATACTGCATAATAAATGTAAAACAAAAATCTTGTTCATTATCAGGTGGAAAGTATCAGCGGTATTATCACTAATGGCTACTCTGTAGTCACTACTCAAAATCACCATGGCAACACAAGTGTTATTTCTAGGATAAGAGAATTGAGAATGCCTATTCAAAACTGAAAAAAACCCAAACCTTTGACAAAACTTCAACCTGTATGTAAACCGTGACCACCATGGCAATATTATATAGGAAGACAATTAGGCATGAATTCTATCAATTCTTACATCAGTAATATTTTTTAAAGTAATAATTAATGAACACGAAAACATCATGTCAATAAAAAAACAACCCTCCCAAATGTTTTAGCTACAAAACTCATGTAAGTGAAAAAAAGAGTTTAAATTTCCCTAATTTCTCTATCTTCAAAAGCAAATTCTGTGTAAAGTGAAGAAATCAACAACTGTGTGACATCTGAGCTGAAATAACAACAGTGCATCAACAATTAAGGAAATGTCCCTCAACACACAAGTCCATAAACATGATAAACAGTACAAAGATCTTAAAACTCATTCAAAAATATATTCATCAATGGACCATGGATTTTGAAAATTTACAGAAAATAAATTCATCCCAAGGAGTTGAGATTTTATGCCCCTTATAAAATGTTTTCCGTCAAAGCACACAGCACCACAGGTCAACAATGTTCAAGGACAACAGTGTTGAGGCACGCATGGTAATATTTCATTAATAGGGAAATACTATGACTTTGTACACATAACTAATGCACATATCAAGGCACATTAATATTTGCAGTTAAGAAAAACATGTCTTTTACACATCTGTCACTAAATTTTCACCCAACCCCTAAAACACACCAGAAATAAATGACAAAATCTTAACTTGGACCATTTCCAACAAGGAGCGTGAGTGCACATTTATTCTAGTGAATCATTGAAGCTACACTAAATAATCCTGAAGACTTAATAATGACTTTAACACTGCACTCAGACATATTCCAGCTATATGACAGCGGCTTGAAAATTATCAAGTCTGGACCAGAAAATCCATTGACTGACATCATGAGCATCAATCAATCAATGCAATCAACCAAGTCACTGAGCTTGACGACCCGATCCACTTTATTGCCTCTAATGAACGGAATAGAGGCGATCCCCTTGTACAAATGCTCCAGTGGCCCTTTCTCTGTCTGTGAGTCCACCTAAAACTAACTTCTTATATCTTATGAATGCAACTGTGTCAAACAACTACACTCTGTTATTACCATACATGACATGCTAAACACTAAGGGTATGTGAATCTCTTTCAATGTTGGTGCTTATTATGACTATCTATTTAACTTTGATTTAACCAACCCGTGAAGATCTGGGGTCTTCAGCAACCCATGCTTGCCGTAAAGGTCAGTTGAAGTTAGGATTTCAAAATGTGCGGAACCCTTTTCAAGGCCCGAGTGCATTGTCTATCTTATACAGCATGAGAGTTACAACAAGGCAAGCTAGTGAACTTCACTTGGTGAACACAGTGTGATAGGAAATGAATTGTAGCCATGGCAACAGCATGTACATGACATGACTGACAAGCAACTGCAGGAACAGGAAGTAGTTGTGCATGATTGTCATTTGCCAAATATGGTAATGAACCTAGTCCTTCAGAAATATTGCAAAATTCTCACCTAACAATAGAAACTATGGCAGATGGATATTGTTTGAACGAATTCTTAATAAAACAAATTGCTTAATTAACACAACAGAATGAATGGAAAGAAATGAATGACATAGTTAAGTTTTACCATACTCCTTACTGTCAGATTTATTAACTAATGCCCCTTTAACAGAATCCTTAGAACTGGTATATTTTATAAAAACAAAACATTGATATTATTCAAAATGATTTTCCTAACAATAACACAAAATATGACAAGATTTGACAAATAAATATGAAAAAACTCAAAATCAGATCTAAATACAGAAACAGACAAAAAAAAGAAGAAGAATAATCTGTTTGATCAATGTAAATAATCAATCTAAAAAAAAGAACCACAGGTGAAAATAATGCCATGTCAACCAGTGCAGTGTCGGGTGTACATATGGAAATATCTATTCTCTGGAAAACAATGAGCAATAGTGACTATGAGACAATCGCCAGTCTAACATCAATGCACCTCAATATGAAAGGAGTGAGTCGGGTTAACTCCAACTAGAGTGAGTGAGTATGGTTTTACGCTGCTTTTAGCAATATTCCAGCAATATCATGGCGGGGGACACCAGAAATGGGCCTTCATACCCATGTCGGGAATCGAACCCGGGTCTTCGGCATGACGAGCAAACGCTTTAACCACTAGGCTACCTGACCCCCCCAACTCCACCTAGAACAGTATTTAGTCCCCTGGACTGCAAGCCTAAGTTACACAGGTTGTAAATGTTCACCAGTACAGCAAACATGGTGCTGAGGGACCAAGGTAACCGCTAACCAGGACAATATGGGATTCCAACCACTTATCAGCATATTTTGGCTGGCTTAGGATAAAAAGACCAGATAACATGACACAGATTTATCCAAGGTTTCAAAAGAAGTACCCAGGGCAGGCAAAATGGGAAAATATCTTTTTGTTCAAATTTGGATTTTTGTTCAAGTTGTTATTTTCTTAAATTCAGTGCTATATTAATGTTGCATTCAAAGCAACAATGTAAAACTAAGCATTTAATCCTGTTCCTCTTTATTGGTCCTGCTAACTGTTGGGTAACTAATTGGGTAAGTTTTTAATTCTACTTTGGGAATTCTTTCTCTGACATTGCTGCAGACTTGGGGCTGAATATCAGGCCCTGAGCAGGTCAAGAGATATATCACTGGATACCATGTACTCAACACCAATGAGCAATGCTGCTCGTCAGATACATGATTCAAAACTAGGTAGCTGGTCAGTTAACATAATAATCATGCTTATATTACCAGGGCTGACAAACCCAGTATTATCAGCAATTGGCACAGCAAAGGGACACAACTCTGCAAAGCAATATTAGTGCACCTGTAGGTCAGAACACTTATAAACATACATCTACATACAAATAACAATATGTCAGGTTCTACTGAAACCCTAGCACCCATAACACAAACATAACAAACACAGTTTCCTTGAGAGTGATTTATCATGAAAATAAACAATAATCACAGTTTTTGAAGGCCTTCTGGAATGAATCATATCATTGGAATGGTCCAATATCTACATGTATGGTATTAATATGTTTAACATTGCTTGAACATGCTGTTGGCACCAAGCTTAAAATAATTTTATATATAAAACTATTAAAACCTTATGGCAAAATGGAGTAACAGTGATAGAAACTAACAATTTTAGCCCACTAGTCCTTATAATGATAACATATACCGGTAGCAAAAACCTTAAAAAGTACAAATTTCTACATGACCTTGAGATACCTTAAACTAACGGGCAGTTTGGCAAGAACTATAGGACTAGTGCCAATGTCTATCGCTGGAGTAAGGCAAGAAAGTGACAAGGCACGGAGAAACTGTGGTCATTTATCAATGTGGATTCACAAACTCCTTGTTACGAAAATATGCATAAATCTCATTAGAGAAAGGTCAATGGAATTTGTGCTCATTTGAAAACATATTGGCTCTTCAATTTTGACCAAACATATACATGAAACAAGACCTGACGAGACCTGATACAAAATAAATTCTGACAATGACACACCATCATAAATATATTACATATCAACCTAGCAAACCAACAACAACAGTTGATAGTTTCTACTTGCCACAATGTACACAAGTGCTTCAAGGGATACAATCTGTATATGGCATAGATTATGTTTTCCATTAACATCACAAATAAAATAATATAAATTGTATAAACAAAACAGTTTGCTAATTGCTAGTCTTTTCTAAGATGCAAACTGAACACTTCATTCTGTGCATACACATGCTGAAGCTATGGAATGATAAGAAATAATAAATGTCATGACACAGTCTGCATGTGACTTAATGCAATATATTACATGCTCTAGTAAGGCCCCATCTAACTTTGGATATAAAGAAGTCTGTTGAACTGAACTGTACTTATGACACTATTATGACACTAACCAAAAATGATGAAACCTGACAGGTTACTGTAACAATGACGTGTATGATGAGACATCAATTTGCTCTACAGTCTAGCACTTCTATCTTGGCCCATGATGTTGTAACTAGTGACTTGTCAAGCCCAGGTATGGCCAGTGCATAAAGGCACCATTATCAATAACTGGTAGCTGGTCTAGTCACTCAAATAATCTACACCTAACAAAGTGACTCAAAATGACTTGATTCAAATGTGCAGGGTGTGCCAAATGACCTGGGTGGTGAGAGCCTAGCTATTGGGATATACATCTGTGTTGAAGTGTGCATATTTGTTGTGACACACTTGTGTAGTCTACATGCAGGGTTCCACGTAGTTGGATGGGAACAGGCCACGCTGTCCGTCCATCACTCCCTCCCACCAGTCGTCCTCATTCTTCTTCAGCACAAAAATCAGCGAGTTCTCCGAAAATGTCAGCTCATCCTCCTTCTCTGCCTTGTAGTCATAGATGGCTATAACTGAAGACACAGACAACATTTATACATCACACACTGCAATAACTGGGCTACAAAATCAATAATTTATACATCAGTGATCATTAATTGCTGAAACTGAAGCAAAAAGAACATATAAGACAGGGCTGGGACGTATAACTTAGGTCCTTGGGTCTGGTAATAGGGGTATGGGTACCCGGGTAGTAAATTTGGACTTGTCCCAGCCCTAATATTTAACAAAACCTATTGCAGAAATTGGGGGATAAAACAATACTTTATATATCTAACACTGCTATAGCTGAAGATAAAAACCGTTATCACACAGCTTTCAGCATGCACATGAGAGCCAAGGCTTCCACTGATGGTGTGTTGTGATTGTTGCAGGAATGAACAGTTATTGTGAAGAGGTTTTTATATGAACTTGCCTCTGAACCCTCTCTGGTGACATGACTCATTTGCATATGGTAGGAGTGCTCCTTATATGGACTGTGTTTGTTACCCTACCATGCCTACCTTCATTGTTCTTTCTATGGTATATATTTCCATACACAGCAGTACAATTGTTTGACTGATCCTCTTTGTGTTTTGTATGTCACAAGAACATTTGGGTGTAGTTCCAACATGGATTAACTGCAGTGCTGGCAGAGAAGACCATCAGCACCTCTCTCTATCAACATTAGATCATCACCGTTAGAACATCATTAAATCTTTATTAGGTCATCATCAGTCTAACAGTGCATGACTAGTTACCCTTTTCCTGGTACTGTTTGGGGATCCAGTCCGGCTGCGTGGTGAGCTGGGGCCCTGTCTCCATGTAGGGGTCATCAGGGGGTGGAGGCGGGGGCTGACTGTCTGTGTCACTGAACTCAGGGGGTGGCGGAGGAGGGTCACTGCCATGGGGATACGCAGCCTGGGGAGGTGGGGGTGGGGGTGGCGACACTAGTGATGGAAGAAAGGCCAGTCATTAGATAATCATAATTCGTAATTTCACAATTATTGAATTATTTGGGTTTATTAATCTTTGAAGTTTTTTCACAGCAAGTCAAGAGGAAGGCTCAAAGTGACCACGGTCACAGACTCCCGGAGACATGGTGCAGATAGACCAAGGGTCAAGCCCAACCTGTGATGAAAAGCCACCATATTGGATCCTGGCATGGCTTCATGACACCTTAGACCAGTGGGACACTTTATCCAGCCTTAGAAATACTTTTTCTTCAAAGACTAGCCTGATGACTAGGGTAAACTTATTTCACTAGTCCTCAGAGTTTGTAGCTAGTTCTGCTTGAACAAGACAGAAATGTTTACTATTTTTGCATTTTCTGTCAGTCATGTTTTTGTTTGTTTGTTGTTTGACACCGCACTCAGCAATATTCCAGCTATATGATGGCAGTCTGTAAATAATCAAGTCTGGACCAGACAATCCAGTAACTGACATCATGCACAATTGGGATACGGTGACATGAATCAACCAATCATGAAATCCGATATGAAGTTCCAATTAGTAGCAAAATTAAATCATTGAGAACTGGTTAAGTATTATAGCCCTATAAAATGCTAGTAGTCAATGAGGATGACCATCATTGCATTTTTACTAGTCCTCAGCACAATTTAGTAGTCCCAGGCTAGCAGACTAGCATGAACTGAGCTGTGCATCCCTGGTAAGACTTTTGACTGACAGCTTATGTTTCAAGTGCAGCTGTATCTTGCATCTGTATCAACTAATACGACTAGCACAGGCCTGTGTCTAAAGCAGGGGTCTGGAAACGCTCATATGCGCCTGACGTGTCCGATTGGGAATCTCAAATGTCCGGTTTAAAATATTGCTTACCGGACATTTAAATTTTTCTGTTCGGACAATTTTTAAAACAAACGGGGTCCAAATAATTGATGAGCGTTATCGTATCCCTTCAGCGAATTCAGGTGAATAAACAGGTATAACAAACTTGGTCTATAAACGTATGAAATTTGACATAAAACATCACTAGTTATGATGATTTAGCATTTAAAATGTATTTCCTGCTCTCCAAGGCATTGTTTTATATGCAGAGATTAAGATTAACATGAGTATTTTCTCGTAAACTAAGCCGGAAATAGCAATCAGCTGTGCACACGTTTCCTCCCAATCTACCGGTGATTCAGTTAAAACGTTCCCAATGATACAACTTCAAAGAATTTTGATGCAGTGGTCAGAAGAAATTGTATCTGAAATTATTATTTTATCAGGAATAAAACATTCCAATATCATGTTATTTTAGTTGCAGCTTCCACCATATAGACTCTAAAGATATGTCTGGAGCAGAGCAGTTAGTCTGGACTTTGGTTATTAACCCTTGTTTCACATCACAGGTTGTGTTTGTTGTTTAATGCTGCACTCAGCAATATCTCAGCTATATGATGGCTGTCTGTAAATAATCAATTTTATATTGTTATACCTCTATTAAGAATCTAGCAATTCCATTGGTTAATCCATAGCACGTGACGAAACAATACATTTATATGAAGACCCCAAGATTCTGTGACTGACACTGACCTTGAATATTGACTCTTCACATGATCAGTGCTGATACTGTCATGTGATGAATATTGATTCATCTGATAGAATACAAGGTGGCGTCTTATACTAACATTTCATGGTTCATGTTACCACAATGAAACAGGACGGTTTAAAGTCTTCATAAACTCTAAATTGAATTTCGGTATAACAAAACGATTGATTCCTCTTGACGAGGTCAATATGCAAAAAGAAGGACCCTCAGACCTGACCCCTTCGGCAGTCACACCAGTCCTTGTTTTTGCATATTGACCTGGCCAAGAGTATTGTATTATTTATATATTGTGAATATCAGTGTCACTCAGTTAGTCAGGTATATGTTATCCTTGTATATTATCATTATTTGATCATTATCATCAGATGTTATCACCTGAAGCTGCTGGGGATAATGACATGATACAACTAGTGGTGTCACAATTCACCGATGTATTGATGTTACCATGGTTACCCTTGACATTAGGATACACTTACCTATGTATCATGCATATCGATCCATATGATCGTTCGTTTGTGATTTGCAAACAGTATTGCAATAACCTATCCTGGTATCACCATGATCACAAAACAACACGCAAAATCTGATTGCCTATTGCTGGCGGAAAAAGCCTACTTAACCAGTCATGGTGTTCGACACAAACTGGTTGATCACAACAACCTCTTGTAGCTGAATGTCACTCAAATAAGTTGCAAATTAAGTATCACAATACATAGTGAATCAAGCATTGTGATTTGTATCGATACGTACGCTTGGCATATTGTGACACCCTTAGATACTATACATACGATGTACCAAGTATCACCTTTAACATCCAAGTAAATAATTTCACCCCCCTCAGGCTTGAACACGGGTATGTCATCTTTTCATACCGAAACTGCCAAGAGAGAGCCAGTAACACTGTGTAAGAGTATTGTGATGCCCAGAATTTTGGATCAGGTTTTACACCCTACTGACCTGGTTATACCACACAAACAAGCAGTGTCCGAAAGAGCTGCCTGCCCGCCGGCCTGTACCTGGCAACTTTTCTGTCGGCTGCATGAAATTTTACTTCACCTGCCCGACTGTCTGGCAGATAATGTTAAGACTACTTACTTATCAATCTCATTAAAATCAGATCTTAGTTCTCGCTACCACTTAAAAAAGATCTGAGGACATTCCATTAGGGGTCATGTCAGAACGACCTTTCATCTGTCCAAACAGAGCGTCACTTACCAGATCATTTAAAGGACAGTCTGAATGTGATTTCTAATCATGCAACCCCGAAAACTTTAACACAGGTTATTCCGAACGATAGTTACAGACTTAGCGACTGAATCCATACAATCTAGACCATCTAGTTAGCCATTCCAGAATGTTCTTTTGTTCAGGTTTCAAATTTTTAAGCGAGAATTTGTCAAAACATGTTTCGAAGCATAGAAATTACTGCCATAAAGCATGAGAAGGCTGCCTTCTGATTGGATAATGTCGACTTCTTGTTAGTCATTCCATTGGTTGGTCAGAGTTCACGAAAGGTCGTTCTGACGTGACCCGTAATGGGATGTCCTCAGATCATTGTTTAGTGGTAGCGAAACTAAGATCTGATATTAACGAGATTGACTTATTCAAATATATTCCTTGTAGGTTCTCTAGTAATTGTTTGCATTATTTTAACTGAATCAAGACAGGATTCATCTCTTAGTTTTTGTGATTTTTCCATATTTATAATGTCTGAATGAGGGCAGGTAACTTTGAAGATGGGCAGGCAACACTTATGGGTCACCAGCCCAACTGCCTTGTTTGGTTATAAAATTATTTTAAACACAGCAAATAAATCCTCCAACATAGTTGTCAGCAGGAAGTGCCTACTCAGCACATCTACATCTAGCTGAAGCACTGCTCTCTAGAACAAGCATCTTTGTAAGAACCTACTAACACTGCGATTATAATAGTTGGTTAAAAGAGGGGCGTAAAGCGGGATGGGCAAAGAGGGTAAGGGTGGCGACAATAGCGCTGAATCATGCCGACCTGTTGAAGCAAGGGCATCCTGACCTTCATTGTCCATGGCTGGAGGGGGAGGAGGCAGCGGCACATCTGTAACCATGACAACACAACATGCAGGAAGCATACACCCCATTACCTGGCAAGCTGGCTTACTACAACTAATTCTACTATATAACTGCAATGTATACGCTAACAGCTTTACTGCTGCATACATATCTAGAGTAATGAAACATGAACATGGTCAGTCATAAAAATGTGTAATTAACCGACATTATTTCTACTTACCCGTACATCTGTCTCGATCTCCTAATTCATGACTCTCCTGAGTATATTTTCCTATACTCCTATCACCCAGACACATTGTCTGCACAACACCTTCATGTATATTAACCTTAATCAAGAATAATCCTAGGAAAATTGAATTTTCATGCTTCAGAGTTGATGAAGAGAATAGAACAAAAAAAAGAGATACTTCAAAAACGGTCCACTTTGGAAATAATCCTTGCAATAATCCAGAGGTTTGCAAAATACCAGATGGAAAATTGAACAGAAGTTGAACATAAAGCAAGGATCTGGACATGTTGGCTCAAAAAGATCAGAAAAAAATTCAGACTGACCAAGTTGCCAAAGTTATGAGATGATCGTTCACCTGTATCAATTTTAATCATTCTGTTCCGAATTGACCACTTCTTCCCAAATATTTACATGTCCTATTGCTACACAAATGATCTCAAGCCTATGACTATACCATGATTACGTACTCAAGTTTTATCTTTCCTAAAAACACCCGAATATCACTGAAGCTCAACAACAAGGCATTTGTATGTTTTATGTTTAACGAACCTCTAACTGCCTAACGATTCAACGACACCTACGATATCATCGATACTAAGGCACAAACAATACTTGTATTGTCAGTCTGTGTGATCGTTACACGCTATAAATAGAACAGAAACTGACTAGAGTTACCTCCTGTAAAGGCTGAAGAAGCATTGCGCAACTTGTAAGCATAGTGCAACTTGTAAGCATAAGGTTAAAAGTTAAATTTCCGTGACTTCATCATTTCTTACTATTTGTTGGTGTATCGTGATAGCAGCGGTATCATGTCTGTATCGTGATACATATTGCATTGCAAGATACCAGGCGAAACTCAGCTCTAATATACGCTGTTGTTGTTGTTTGTTGTTTAACGCCATACTCAGCATTATTCCAGCTATATGACGACAGTCTATAAAAAATCGAGTGATTGATATCATGAGCATCGATCCTGGCAATTGGGATACGATGACATGCATCAACCAAGTCAGGGAGCCTGAGCACCAAATTCCGTTAGTCGCCTCTTACGAACAGCATAATCACCTTCTACGACAAGCATAGTAGCCTTCTACGACAAGCATATTCACCTTCTACGACAAGCATAGTCGCCTTTTACGGCAAGCATGGGTTGCTTAAGACCAATTCTACCCCGGATCTTCACGGGTCTAATATACACTGATAACAGAGAGGTACATCTGAAGAGAGGAGAACAAGGCAGATCTGGCGACATACAAGGTACAGCAACAGCAGCAACAGCAGCCCGAATATCGGCATAGCAACCAGACACAAGGTACAGAAGCCTGGCACCACTATAGTCTTATGCTAGCATACTACATGGAAGCCATCAACTAACATGGACATAGTTGTTGTCAGCCTTCATACTAAATAGAGTACAGGTATGGTGCTGACAAACCAAGAAACATGATCAAGGAGAATCTGGGATTTAAACCCATGGTCTTTGGTTCCTGACATGCCTAAGGGACACAACTCTGTAGAGAGAAATGTGGCACTTTAGACAACTTAGCTTCCCATCAACGTATTAACTAAAAGCTGACTATAGACTAATCTCTGCACCATACAGATGCCATTCTCATGCATTATACTGGAGTATTCATTCCCATGCAGGAAGTCTCACCACGCCTACTTGCATTCTGGTAACCCATGTATGAAAACGGAGCTGTGTTGATAAGATAGAACATGTCATATGAAAATTAACGGATACTTAACAGATGAAATATAAACATGATAAAATTGACAGCAGAAAAAATGGTCATGAATTATTCACAAAATAATCTAATTGGTGTTAAATAGATACAAGTAAAAAAAGCAGAAAAAAACAAAGGTCCTGGGCCCGGTTCCACAAAATGAGTGAGTGAGTGAGTGAGTGAGTATGGTTTTACGCCACTTTTAGCAATATTCCAGCAATATCACGGCTGGGGACACCAGAAATGGGCTTCACACATTGTACCCATGTCAGGAATCGAACCCGGGTCTTCGGCGTGACGAGCCAACGCTTTAACCACTAGGCTGAGTCCCATCCAGGATTCGGACCTGCACTCTCACAGTGTGGCACCTAATTGCCAGCACACAAAGTCTGTGATCTAACCCACTCAGCCAACTAGGCTTCCACAAAAATGGAAGTCTGACAACTGGTAGTCTAGATCAGCCCCCTTGGCCAAAAGCTATGAATAAAAATTTATATATATCTCTACTTACCACCTGTTGATTCCCGATGGTAGGACACCCTGTCTGACACGGGGCGTGCCATTCCAACAGGAGGGGGTGAGTGGACTGTACCCATTACACTGGGGGCATACAGCATTTCATATCTGTCCCTGGCACCATGCTGGGATTGACCCGGGGCGTACTGTTGACCGACTGGGACAGATGGCGGTGCGACGGGGGGAGCCACTGATCGGTAATGGCTTCTTCCCAGGGTTCCATAGATTGTACCCGATGTGGAGACCCCAGAGATGGATCCTCCTGACACGGAGCCGGACCGCGAGATGGGTGGTGTCGGGGGTCTGGTGGTGGGAGCATGAGAGGAGCCCTGGCTGGCTATAGAAGGGGGTCGGCTGTTCTTGGGGGCAGCAGATGGTGCCTACATAGCAAGAAACATAAGTCAGAGAGAGAAACTTCAGAGAAATCGCAAAATGTTTCTGATGTTCTTTGATGTAATCATATCCAATGATTTAAATATGCTAGTCATTAAATCATTTGGACTTTATGTAGCGTTATTAGATTTAAGGAGAAAACAACATGTCGGTCGACTATGATTCTGAAAGAAAGACCACAGGATAGATATTTTGCTCCGACCATGATGTTATAAAGTTCAAAGGATTTTGTTACTTTGTATTTTATGTCAGAAAACATAAGCGTAACTGGAACCTTCTTTGTAACGATGTCTAGTTACTTGTGCCTTATCCATAACATCACCCTCACAGCTAATGTTATGATACAAATGAAACAACTGCTTTCACCTTGATTCCATGTCCAGTAGAGTCCAGTGTCGAGTAATCTACGGGTTTGCGCTGATATTTGACTGGACGTTCAGCCTGCTCGGGGAATATGATGCCGTTCTTGGTTCCAACTGCCCTCAGTGAGGTCCTGTTGGTCGTGAGAACACCGATCTCTCGTCTGGCCACCTTCTCTTTGTGTATGTTTACAATCTACAGAGACAGAACAAGAGATTACAACAACAATAATACAATAATGAAAACATTACTGCTGCACACACACTAGTCCTTCAGCAGCATGGGTGTTAGCTCATGTTGGACATCACTTCATCAGCCATGGTTTTCTTGCCACCAACATTCATGTAAAATAATTTGACAAATGATAATGTCAAGGGCTCATGCCATCATGTCACATGACTTGTACCCACTGTCAACATGGTCAAGAGAAGCTTGTTATTGAGAGAAGAATATAAAACATGCGCCATTACACCCAAAGCCATCTGCCCAAAGAAATATTCGAGTGAGTGATCAAAGGCATTTCCAATACATATTCACTGACAGATTGAGTTGGAATACATCTACCAGCTAGTCCTTCTTACAAACCAGCTGATGTGGTACCTTTGAGAGATGGTTGATGCTAGCCTCTACCAGCTAGGACGACATATATACCAATAGCTGATGTACCTGTGAGAGATGGTTGATGCTAGCCTCTACCAGCTAGTACTACATATACGAATAGCTGATGTGGTACAGTCATGCCCCGCTTATAGTGACTTCAGATATCCGGAAACCTCGGTTGGGCGATTTTCATTCAAAACGAAATAATTACTACATAAATTTACCCGTATATATATATACGGAAATTCAGTTTCCGGAACCGGATGGTCATTTTCATACACAAAACACTGAAAATGCACACAAAATTGTCTCACTTACCCGGACAATACACTTCCGCTGGTGGTAGTCAACCAGCGAAACGTAAGCGACAAGCAGTTACAGCACGCGAAAAAAGGGAAATTTGTCTGTTTAAGGAAAAACACCCGTCAGCAAGTTTGGAAACCATCAGTAAGCATTATGGCACTGAATTTGGACATACCATAGGAGAATTGACAATTGGTGACATTTTAAAAGACAAACAGAAATGGCTTAATCTCCTGGAAAATTCAAATGACTTATCACAATCCCGTGTAGCAAAACACCAGAAGCTGGAAGATGCATTATATCTTTGGTTGTGTGACATGACAAGTCGTAATGTGACCGTTAATGATGAAATACTGATAGAGAAAGCTAGCGATTTTGGTGGCAAAATGGACATTTCTGACTTGGCATATTCTCATGGGTGGCTCACTCGATTCAAATCCAGACTCAAAATGTGGTAAAGTTCAAACTTCCATGACAGATTTTTTTAAATGTGTATGTCTTGAATAAAGATTGAGTGGATGTATCTGTTTGCTCTGTCATCTGTCATGAGTTGCATAATTGAAGGGAAGTAACTCTTCCAGTAAGAAGCTGGTTTCAGTTATATGGACGAATTGTGAAATGACGCAAGTGTCCGTATAAACGAGGCACGACTGTACCTGTGAGGGATGGTTGATGCTAGCCTCTACCAGCTAGTACTACATACACCACTAGCTGACGTGGTGCCTGTGAGAGATGGTTGATGCTAGCCTCTACCAGCTCGTCCTACATATACCACTAGCTGACGTGGTACCTGAGAGAGATGGCTGATACTAGCCTCTACCAGCTAGTACTACATATACAATAGCTGATGTACCTGTGAGAGATGGTTGATGCTAGCCTCTACCAGCTCGTCCTACATATACAATAGCTGACGTGGTACCTGTGAGAGATGGTTGATGCTAGCCTCTACCAGCTAGTACTACATATACAATAGCTGACGTGGTACCTGTGAGAGATGGTTGATGCTAGCCTCTACCAGCTAGTACTACATATACAATAGCTGACGTGGTACCTGTGAGAGATGGTTGATGCTAGCCTCTACCAGCTAGTACTACATATACAATAGCTGATGAGGTACCTGTGAGAGATGGTTGATGCTAGCCTCTACCAGCTAGTACTACATACACAATAGCTGATGTACCTGTGAGAGATGGTTGATGCTAGCCTCTACCAGCTAGTACTACATACACCACTAGCTGATGTGGTACCTGTGAGAGATGGTTGATGCTAGCCTCTACCAGCTAGTACTTCATATACACTAGCTAATGTGGTACCTGTGAGAGATGGTTGATGCTAGCCTCTACCAGCTAGTACTACATACACCACTAGCTGATGTGGTACCTGTGAGAGATGGTTGATGCTAGCCTCTACCAGCTAGTACTACATGCACCACAAGCTGATGAGGTACCTGTGAGAGATGGTTGATGCTAGCCTCTACCAGCTAGTACTACATACACCACTAGCTGATGTGGTACCTGTGAGAGATGGTTGATGCTAGCCTCTACCAGCTAGTACTACATATACAATAGCTAATGTGGTACCTGTGAGAGATGGTTGATGCTAGCCTCTACCAGCTAGTACTACATATACAATAGCTGATGTGGTACCTGTGAGAGATGGTTGATGCTAGCCGCTACCAGCTAGTACTACATATACAATAGCTAATGTGGTACCTGTGAGAGATGGTTGATGCTAGCCTCTACCAGCTAGTACTACATACACCACTAGCTGATGTGGTACCTGTGAGAGATGGTTGATGCTAGCCTCTACCAGCTCGTCCTACATATACAATAGCTGACGTGGTACCTGTGAGAGATGGTTGATGCTAGCCTCTACCAGCTAGTACTACATATACAATAGCTAATGTGGTACCTGTGAGAGATGGTTGATGCTAGCCTCTACCAGCTAGTACTACATACACCACAAGCTGACGTTGTGCCTGTGAGAGATGGTTGATGCTAGCCTCTACCAGCTAGTACTACATACACCACAAGCTGACGTGGTACCTGTGAGAGATGGTTGATGCTAGCCTCTACCAGCTAGTACTACATATACAATAGCTGATGAGGTACCTGTGAGAGATGGTTGATGCTAGCCTCTACCAGCTCGTCCTACATATACAATAGCTGACGTGGTACCTGTGAGAGATGGTTGATGCTAGCCTCTACCAGCTAGTACTACATATACAATAGCTAATGTGGTACCTGTGAGAGATGGTTGATGCTAGCCTCTACCAGCTAGTACTACATACACCACAAGCTGACGTGGTGCCTGTGAGAGATGGTTGATGCTAGCTTCTACCAGCTCGTCCTACATATACAATAGCTGATGTGGTACCTGTGAGAGATGGTTGATGCTAGCCTCTACCAGCTAGTACTACATATACAATAGCTGATGAGGTACCTGTGAGAGATGGTCGATGCTAGCCTCTACCAGGTAGTACTACATATACAATAGCTGATGAGGTACCTGTGAGAGATGGTTGATGCTGGACTCCATCCCCGAGAGTTGGTTTCCCTGCATGTCCAGCAGGTTGAGGAAGTTGGCTGCCAGGGTGTGGATCTGGTAGGCCACGCTGGCAAGAGAGTGGGTGGTGTAGTTCTTTGTCTCCTCCAGGACCTGCTGCTTGTCATCTGCCTGTTACAAAACACAGCATAAGTAGTGAGCAGTACGGGACTTACTGGACAGAGCCAATAGTAGGCGGTCTTGGTCTTAAGTCATAGTTAAACGACAGTGACGTTGCTAGAGACAAACATCATAAAGATATATTCATGATTTTAGCAAATTATGACGGGTTATTCTTCCATATTATCACTAATATCTTTAGGATATTTTGGATAACAATCGGTCAACGTCAGAGAAAATGAACCAATCTGAAACTCTGAATGATCACTTCTACTTAAAAAAATAATAATTTCATGACACAGTATCTTCATGTTCACATGATGTTTTCACACTTTGAAGCAATAAACATACAATTCTAAACAAGGGTGTCATATTGTAGTGTTCTTTTCCTCAAAAACAATTTGCTTCAGTAAAAATCAACTATTTGAATACTAGGAAACAATATGTATCAAAATAGTGTTGCCAAAGTTAGTTCAATGATCATGTGATAAATTGTGTTTGTTTATATAGAAATAGAATTTCAATTCACCAATATTTGCCTACTGCCACTGCATATTGGACAAATGTAGAGTAAAATGCACTCGGATGCTGACAATACCAACTCGAAAGGCCTAATTCTGTGAAATCTGCTGCTTTTGATGTCATGATGTTGAATTGGACATGTCGAGTCATCTTATCTTGAAACAGTTTTATCAACACTGGAGTACACTAAGTAACAGACAAGGGGTGACACTAGGATACCCACTGGTTACAATATAATCACCTGTCAGCAGCATTCCAGTTCCTGCATTGAACTGAAAACTGAAATATGATGAAAATGAAATGTAAACAGACACCTGTTGATTCAGAATATGAATCACGTTCTCATTTCACCATAGTCATAGCAATGTACCTCTTTATATCGTTCCTCGCAGTGTTCGGCGAGACGTTGAAGGTTTGCATGGTTTTCCTGTAAATTCTGACGGCCATTTGGGATGTCTGTGTCAATCAGCTGGAACACCTCGCTGGCAGCCATCTTAAAAACTTCCGGCTACTCCCAAAGTTTTTCGTTCTAATGCGCATGCGTGTGGAAGTAGGGTCACTGTTCATTCAGGGCGCGAATTTTAATCAACAGTCGACTTCAATATATTATTTGCGTTATTTAGGTATAATAGGTGCATACTGCGATAGTAAATTTACGCACATAGGCTTTTACTTTTATAATGACTCCAAAAAGGCAAACAACATATTGAAGCCTAACTATTTTAATTATAACTAAAAACGTCAGCAATATTAACTTCACAGACTGATCATTTAATCAGTACGAAGGCAGTGACATCATTAAAAAAAACGTACAACTTTATGGATAACAACTTCTGGTTTATTGCATATAGCGACGTTTCGATGTAGATTCCTGCACCGTTATCAAGTTGGAGTCACTCCAGAATATACAACGTCACACGTCGGTATATGCAATATACCAAAAGTTCTCATCTATAAAGTTGTACGTACGTTTTTCTTAATTATTTGCCAACTTCTAGAATGCCAATCAAACAGTTATCAGTGCCATCGCTCAGCGCAAGAACGCAACAAAAGACCCTCCCATTGTATGCTCAGCCAGTCAGGACACAGTAGACCTTTAGCGGGAGTGGCCTATATAAATCTATAGCTACACTTATTTTTCCAACTCTTTCGGTTTGTAAACAATAATATCACCAGTTAAGTGTCTTGGGTGTAAAAATTAAAGGTGAGGTGAGGTGAATTGGGGTTTAACGTCATGTCTAAGATTATTGCACTTATATATAGCGACCTGTATGCGCGGTTGTACTAGTCCGGACTGATGCCGATTTATAGTGCTAGTTCACTGAGATATCATGCCGCAGTTTCACATGAATACCCCACTCAGACACAGTATACTGACTCCGAGCCGACCAGTCATTGTTTTAGCCCCTTAATGCCGAGCGCCAGTCAGGGTAACAACAAGTACCATCTTTTAACATTTATATCCGCTCCCCGGGCGGACGCTCTACCACTAGACCTCGGAGGCGGTCGTAAAAATTAAAGCAAGCCAGATATAGTTGCAGAGCGATTAGTGGTAACGGACGACGTCACACTTGTCTGCAATGGTCCGTAGAAAAAGATGATGATGATAAATAGAGGATATTATAGTGAGTTAGTATGGTTTTACGCCGCTTTTAGCACTATTCCAGCAATATCACGGCGGGGGACACCAGAAATGGGCTTCACACATTGTACCCATGTCGGGAATCGAACCCGGGTCTTCGGCGTGACGACCGAAAGAGGATATTATATGAGTGTTCGTGTCATACTATGTTTACGACACGACTGTCTAAATTCCGGTATTTCCCGAGCGAGAGCGAGTATTGAGATAAACTACTGTTTCGATGTTGAAGGGCAACATTCGAGTTATAGATCATTTCTTTTACGATGAAAAGGGGAGACTCTACGTACATTGATTATTTAAACCTGCGGAAAATTGAGATAAGTGAGTCCTCTCAGTAGTATTTGCATGCTTCTTTGGAATATCCTGTACTTAGTATATCTGTGTTTATGGAAATTGGAAATTAGAAAGAAAAGAAATATTAGAGGGGGACATGGACAACACACGACATTTAATACACACTGTCATTATGATATTGTATTGCATAGTATTGTACAAACACACAGCACAGCACGCACGCACATACGTCTTTGTTCCAGCATAGCCTCGAAAAAACCCATATATAGTCACTTCGGTCAAATATGTAAATGACAGTTCAGCCGGCTTACGTGTAAAATAACCAGCATATATTTATTCTTGTAATGATTGGTAGTGTAGAGCAATTATTTAGTTGTTTACATTACAGGGACAATGATATTCAATATTATTATGTATATATATTTTTAGATTAATTGAATGGGGCATCCCCATGATGTCATTTAATAACTCGGAGCAGAATACACGTACCTGACCATAAAAAAAACACAATGCATGAAATCGACACGTCATCGTGCAAATTTCAAAGAAATTGACCACCAAGGTCACGATATTGAGATCACCAGTTTGAAAAGAACTAATCTTGGACAAAGTTATGTGATAAACATTGCATGTTTGATATTGCATACCTGTAGAACTGTACAAGCCCGTGCAAGAAGTGGTGCACTTTTTCTATCTTTATATATAGGCCTATAATGACAATATAAAATCTGTATATATAAGAACACAGTTCGGGTACTATTCCGTAAAAATCAAAATTGTATTTGCTAAATAAGACAAATAATGGCAGAAATAACGAAGTCATTTAAAATTAGCACTGGGCATAGACCTCATAATTATTCTATGCTGAACTAGTCCATCAGGTAATTAAGAAACTTCTAACATTAGTTTAAGCAGATTAACCATTTCATTTTTACACCCTATCGGGCAGTTGTGGACGGGGAACCTAATTTTGTAACGCCGATAAGCTAGCTGTTACCTCAGCGCACACCCATTTGCTCTTGTAATGTTATTGTCCGGATTTTAACAGGACGTGACGTCAGTGTCATGGCGGCTTGAGTAGGACCACAACAAATCCTTGGTAGGTTCACTTTTTTAGTAATCTTGACCCTTTAAGATCCTCTATCAACCTTCAACACCATAGCCGATACTTTCTCGACTGGCTATGGTTTTGTCTGGCATCAACATTCGCGACGTATCGGTATCGCACGCGATAAAATGAGTTCGTGAATTGATATCAATAGACAGCTGCTGTCACAAGTGACGAAACCTCCAACCACGAGTGCTGATCGGCAAAGAAGTACCCGCAGCATGCTGATCAGCACGAAGTGACACCAGTTTCTGATGTGTGTAGTTAATCCTGTACTTTTTGTAACATTTCAAGTTAAATGTTTGAAAAATAGGAGGGGAAAGAGGAAGTGTTGTAAGTAAATATTGTGGAAGCGTCTGTAAAATCTATTTAGGTTGACACAGAAATCCAGTTGCCTGTTCTAAAGGTCGCTAGCCAAGTTACCGTACCCCCCCCCCCCCCCCCCCCCCCCCCCCCCACACACACCCAACACACACAGACACCACCCATTTCTTGTTAAATCAGCTAGATCTCTTTGATATAACACTTCTCAATTCTGTACTGGGTTGCCCAAGAAGCTCATTGATCAGATTTGATTCTGTAAACAGCTAGTCATAACCTTGACTAGGTTGCAAACTGCTGTCCTATATTGTTTGATAGGCTTTTTTTTAAGGAGATGACAGATGACAAGGTAGACACAATTTATGGGTAAGGTCATAATAAACTAATTGCTAGATTATCATTCACTTGTCTTTCAAAATAACAAAGATAATAAATAAACAATGATTTTAACACTAGCAGTTGGATGTATCTGTGTCAAACCTGTTTTAGATTGCCATGCCTCAACTTGTACTCATGCATTTATGAATTATTCTCAATTGTCATTAACTTGTCAAGTTTCCCACAAGCAAACTTGTTGAAAATTTCCATAAGAGCCATGGACTTTGTCAAAGGACTGGAATACTAGTCTTTAATCATGTTAATGGTCATACCAGTCTTTAATTTTCAAAATAGCGAGCACCATCTTGACAGCTGGCAGCAATCAGACGATAGGCTGGCTCCTACCAAGAGTCAGTTGTAGACCAGTTTAAGGCATGTTGTAAACATGAAATGGTCATTTGACAGCTGAAGTTGTTACAGTAATCTAAACATTTCACTCCGACAAATAAAATGAATTTGTCAGGGGTTAAGTTGTGTGTCTGAAGGGGATGATAATCTAGGAATTCATTTATTAATGCCTAAAAACTTCTTTGATATACTATTATATATAGTCACATTTCGGTTTGGATCCTTATACTGTTGTCCAGCAAGACTGTCTAATCTGAGCATGGTACAGGATTATACATGGTTGGTGAAGAATTAACACTTACAGTATAAACAGTTTTATTGTGACAACGGGATGGAGAGAGAACACATGGTGAGGAAGCCAATTAAACAGGATTAAGTATATATTGGTTGGATGTTTGATCGAGGAGATATTCAGCCGAAATTGCCTAGGCAGAAGGCGACCTCTTAAACACTTAATGCAACAACAACATCAAGGAGATGGAGCTATAGAGGAATGGGATCACCTTTACAATACAGCACTACAACTTCTTGTGAGAATGATCACTGCCTTAGGTCACATGTCACTAAGACAAGCAACCACTTTTTGGGAGAATCCGTTTGACGTGAACTCACGAACTTTAGATCGTTAGCCCGACAGATAACCAACAGAGCTACGTCCACACTGTTAAACTTTGTGCAAATTTAACTAGTCAATCACTGTCATACCTAAGACATTAGGGAACTGAACGGAAAGGGTGGTATACGTGACGGATACTTACAATGGTGTCCAGTGACTTTAGTCTATGGACACTTACGAGTGATCCCGATGCCATTTGGGACACTCATCCCATTCTGTAATCAATAGTCAATATGGCTAAAACTGAAAACAGCTCATGGTGTCAAATTCGCGGGTGCGCTTGAATGACATGGTATTTAATAACTCTGGGGTGATTTAGTGACAGAAAAGTGTGGAAGGGAACACTGTAAGGAGAATGTGGATCATAGTGTGGAACAAGGAAGGCATAAGGTGATGACACAAGAGTGGATTGTTTTTTTAATCATTACTGAACAGTGAAGCTGAAGACAGTCATTGAAGCCAGAGCCATAGTCACAAAAACTGAGCCTACAAACATAATTGATTTATTGCAAAAAATGTCCAATGGTAGATAGTGTTCAGACTGGTGACAATTGGATGTGTGCAGCATAAAAAATAATATAAGAAAATTAGTTGCCATTTATGATCCTTTTAGTCCAATGAATTAAGTTGAAACTGAAATATAAAATATATTAATAATAAAAGTGCTTTCATAAACTAATGCTTGATATTAAATGCACCGCAGCAGGCTGTATTTCCTTAACAAATATTCAAAACTCTCAGCATCGCTGGAATTATTCAATGACATTGTGTGTAGAGATGACAGAACACAGAGAGGAGCTTATGCA